GCTTCCACTTTGATTCAAACAAAAAAAAGCATTTTTACGTTATAATCAATAATATACAACTCTTCTGAAAACGTATTAAAATAAAACCGAAAAATTATCAAATCCTGAAGCCATTTCGGATAAATCCGTTTAATCACGACTTTTAAACAAATCAACTACTTTCACTTTTCCAAAAATCTCCGCCATGTTATGATTAATTTCCTGATTTAATTTCGGCATCCGGACATTCGCAAAGACGAGATTATACGGAAGTCTAGTAACATCAAAATTGATTTAGACAAATTTTCCTCAACGGTTCTAAAATTTGTTTTTCCGAGATCAGGCAATAACACTAGCAACGTTAATGTATCGTAATAATATCGGAAGATTTCATTCGAAAAATGCATGTCTTAGACTGTTGTAGTGCTGGTTTCAGAAGTGTGAAAATAATCTTTGAGAAAATCTATACCAAGGTAACCAAATTTCCATCCTGATTTGGTGTAAATTGTTTTTACCGGGAAGGCCCGTGTTAATTCATCTATGGGTCCGTTTGGTACGGTTTCTTAAATGCATTGCCTTGTCTTTCTACTCAGTTAATAATCTTTAGAATTTCTTTAGGATTGTTTTAGTAGTAGAAGCAGTAGTAGTAGTAGAAGCAGTAGTAGTAGCAGCAGCAATAGTAGTAGAAGCAGTAGTAGTAGTAGCAGTAGTAGAACTTTTATCAGTATCTGACAACAGCGAAACTTTTCCAACAACTCATAAAGCAGATTAATTTTATTAAAAATTTTCAATTTTGAAATTTTAAAATTGCTGTAATATTTATATAAAGATGATCGACTTAGTGTTATGGTTCTTATTTACATATTTAGTTGCACGCACACGCACGCACACACACAACACACACACCACAAACACACATTTATAGAATAATAATAGAAATTATTGAAAACAGATAAGAGAATAAAAATCCCTTTTGACGAGAATTTATCTGCAAATACTTATGTCATAGGGAGTGGGAGAAAAAACTCACACACACACACACACACACACACACACACACACACACACACACACACACACACACACACACACACACACACACACGTACAGACACATACATTAAATTAACAAATTATAAATAGTTATATATGCATATTTAGATATAACATACATATACATATGTCGTTGTGATGATCTTGTCTGTAGACTCAGATCATTTATCTCGGAAGTTAATGAGTGGGAGGTGGCAAATAGGCTTAAATTGAATCAATCAAAAACTCAGTTTTACCGGTTAGTACTAGGCAGTAATTGGAGAAAAATGAACATCGAGTCTATCAGACTTGCCGATTCTGACATTGAATTTTGCACATCTGCCCGCAACCCGTGCTAATGTCTTTTCCTCTGCATTCACTGCATGGCTTTAATAAAGTGCTAAGCAATGTACTGCAATAATTGTTAGCGCCTCTGAGATCTTTTTAATCAATTTCTAAAAATCCTTTAAATTGTTTTACATCAAATGGTTTAATGAAATATTTTTAGAATGCAAAAACCCATTTCAAAAACGTTTATTCAAATACACTCCTAGGCTATAATGAACATTTTGTAGTTTTTATTTGGTGTCAACAAAATGAAAATTGATCATAATTGTTGAGGAAAAGTTTTTTTATTTTTTTGTAGGAAAAAACGAAAAAAAAACAAATGAAAATAAAACACCGATGATCAAAAGATTAATCAGAAAAAAATAATTGATTATCAATTAATTAGTTGATAAATTAACAATTAATTAGTTGATTAATTAAATAATTTATATAAAAATTAATAATACAAAATAATTAAAATATTAAATTAAAAAATTTCGAAACTTCAAAACAATAGTCGACAAGTCAGAAATTTGGCGTTTGAAAAACTGTAATATAATCGCTAACAACTCTATTATAATAAATAAATAAATGAAAATTTTTTTAGGAATTTAAATAGAATTGTCAATAACATCATTAACCAATTAATTAATTAATCAATTAATTAATTGATCAATTAATTAATTAGTTAATTAATTGTAAAAAAGTAACAAAAAATAAGCAACATCAAGTGTATCTGTATCGGCTGTGTGTGTGTGTGTGTGTGTACTGTGTGCTTGTTTGTGTGTGCGTGTGTGTGTAAGATCATTCACGATTGACGGCAATAACGAAAAAAAAAAAATTTAAAAAAGATCCAAACATAGTAGAGAATTTATACTCAAATAATCTTTCTTGTCGTCATCATCACCATCATCATCATTATTATTAACTTATTAGTATTACATCGTTTATTAATATTATTATCATTAATATTATATAATATAATTATATATAATTATAATTAATATAATCATTAATATTATTAATATAATATTATTATCTATCTTGTCGTCATCATCATCATCATCATTATTATTATTAACTTATCAGTATTAGAGCACGTGGAGAAGGACAGGGTGAAAGCGGGGTTGCGTGATATTGAGGCGAGTGACAGATGTGGATGGAGTCGAGGGGTATTTCGGTTTCTTCATAGGTAGACAAACGGCACCCCCCGATCTCGGGGAAAATGCCGTCTAAACGTGTGTTGTTGTTGTTATCAGTATTAAATCGTTTATTAATATTATCATCGTAAATATCATTGAATATATATATATATATATATATATATATATATATATATATATATATATATATATATATATATATATGTAGAGAAAGAGAGAGAGAGAGAGAGAGAGAGAGAGAGAGTTCTATGTTTGTTGCCCATGTATGTTAATATGCTATATTACAATTTAATAAAACGTTTATAAATTATCTAAACAAAGAACAGAAAACAGGTTAAAAAATTAAGAAGTAAAAACCCCATGAAAAAACAAAGATGAATATTAACAAAGAATAATAATTAAAATTTAAAGAAATAAAATTCTAATTATTATTCATCTATGCTGGGTTTATTTGTTTATTTACAATATTTCAGATTTAAAAAATTTAATTATTTAAAAAAATTTAGAGATTTCGAAGGCCAGTTATGAATAGCTTCAAATACGATAGCGCGAAGAATATATCAACATCATCATCATCATCAACCTCGACGTCATCATCATCATCCTCATTGAAATCAATACCATCATCGTCACCATCATAATCATCACGCCATCAGCATTTTTAATAGTGAACAAATGAGTAATTAAAATTATAAAATCATAAAAAAAATAAATCATGATCATGATTTTCTTTCTTTCTTTCATTGATCATTCACGGTTCTTCCTTTCATCCATCAAGCCGTTTTTGTCTTACGAGTAGAGAGCCATAACGATGAACTGTGAATGAATGAATGGATGTATGAATAAATGAATGAATGAATGAACAAATGAATAATTTTAATGAACGAATGAATGATGAACGAATGAATGACGAAAGAAAGAATGAATGAATGAATGAAACGATGAAATGAATGAATGAGACAATGAAGTTTTCATTTTTTCATTTGAATGAATGAATGAATGAATGAGTAAATGAATGAATAAACTTTCAATGTTATTATTTGAACGTAGTTAACTCTGCTGGAGAATTCCAACAAAAACGACTTCATTTAAGTCGTGTATATTCAAATAAACTGAAGTGTTTCGTCTTTCATTCATTCCTGTTTTCATTCATTCATTTCTTTATTCAGTCTCTCATTCATTCGTTTATCTATCATTCATTCATTCATTCATTCATTCATTCATTCATTCATTCGTTTTTTTCAAAAATAATACTAGCATCATAAAGAACGTTGAAACAATTTATTATAACAACTAATTTCATTTTATTAAACCTTGCATAGATACAAGATAGACATGGGATTGATTGTACACACACACACACACACACACCACACACACACACAACACATCACACCACGCGCACACACACACACACACACACACACACACACACACACACACACACATATATATATATAACATTCGTGTGATTGAGTGAATAACTAAATACAAAGTAAATGAGCGAATGATATTTAACATTTTCAATCTTTGCCGCTGAAACGAATTCAAGAATGCCGTTGGTACGATCGTGCAAGGCAAACATACAATAATGCAGTAGAAGTTGTAGGATTGTAAGAAATCTGTGTTAAATTATAAACTCACCTGTTTTACATTGCACCTGGATTGTAATAAAAAGTTACGTGAATTCAATAGTAGTTCTCAGTTTAGTGAACTACTCAAACACTGATTCCAAATATCATAAAACGAGCATGGCACGATAATTGGAATGAGTCAAAATAAGAAACGTCCGGCAAACTGCAAACAGTTTGTCAACACGGACATGGACGGCAACTGAATCAGCAAGAAGAACTCGTCAGTCGTGGCGTATGTGTCGATTGTGGACATGAGATTTGACAACTTATATCTGGATATAAACAGCATCGTCTACACCTGCTCCCATCCATCAAACAAACCCGCATCTGCTACGAAAAGTGACCTGATGGCGGAGATAGCCAAATACATCGACCACCCAATGACAATCGTTAAGCCCAGGAAGCTACTGTTAAGCTAAGTTGATGGCAAAGAAAACAACGTCCTACCTCGGGAAACTGGGTCTCTGGACGCAAAACGAAGATTGATTGATTGATTAGGAAGCTACTGTTCATCAGCATGCATGACAGATCTCCTAGGGCGAAGAGCAACAAGGAGAGGCAGGAGATGATAGAAAAAGGCTCGGGAAGCGTGCAAGCACGAGAGAGCAGTAACCACACCAGCTACATGTTCTTCATGATAGGATTGTCGAAAGAACTGTGTCGTTATATCGACTCGCGTGTAAGTAGCAGTCCGAGCTGGAAGGGATTGGCTGTCATCCTATCAGACGCTGAGTGCCAGGTGAGGGTGAACACAAGATTGTGGAGTATATCAGAAGACAGCGCGTTCAACCACAATACAATGCGAATGTGAAACATTGTTTGTTCAGCGCAGACACAGATGCCATCATACTGGGCCTCACAACACACGAGCCCGTGTTCAGCATTCTGAAGCAGTTGAAGGATGACGAAAGTTTTGTTTTCGTCCAAATTAATGTTTTACAGGAATATTTGTTTAAAGATTTAAAAACGTTTAATTTGTTGAAACAGGATCTGGAAAAGAGCATCGATGACTGGGTGCTGCTGACAACCTTGCTGGGCAACGATTTCCTTCCAGGATTGCCGTCCGTGGACATCTGGGAGGGGGCAATCGGCAGGATGATTGGGATGTACAAGAAAGTACTGGAACGAACTGGGTGCCATCTCAACAACAATGGGTTCATCAACTACAAGAGCTTGGACTTCCTGTTCAGATGTTTGGCTGAAGAGGTGGGCAACATCTTCAAAAACAGAAAGATGACCATTGCGGATGTGCGTGGTAATATCGTAGAGCCCAAAGACGATCGAGTCCATAAATATGTTATGGGGTTGACTTGGGTTCTGCGTTTCTACTACCAGGGCTGCTTCTGTTCCGACTGGTACTATCCGTACATCCAAGCACCGCCTGCCTCGGATAACAAAATTACAAATGGCCAGATAGCCCGATGACATTTTTGGGATCCGAGAAACTGGAAACGAAGGAACCAACAGTCAGGTTATTTTTACACAAGGAGGTGTTTGATTCCGGCAAAATTTTGACTTTCGAAGGAATTGTAGGAACAATATCCAGAAATCATACATTGAAATTCGACTGCAGCCAGGCATTGGTTGTCAGATTTGAAAATCCACAAAGCAACTGAAAAAATTGCTAACATATTTAAAAAATCAAAACCTTTCGACCACAAAAAATTTCTGGCTACGCCATTGCCTTAGGGCTACGGGATATTTATTTCAAAAATATTGAAAGAGCCGGGTCATTATATAAGCTCTCGTGCAAGTAGTGACCCGAGTTGGTAAATATTAGCTATCATCCTATCAGGACGACCACAAGATCTTGGAGTATTTAACAAGATACCACCACAAAAAAATGCAAATAAGAAACATTGTTTGTTCCGCGCAAAAGCGGATATCATCGTGCTGGGCTTGACCACAACTATGCCCCTGTCCAACATACTTAAAAAATTAAAGGCTGACGAAAGAAGTTTTGTTGATGCTGATGTGAAAATGAATTTTGTTAGAACAAACGTTTCGAGGGAATATTTAACGATTTAAGAACAAATAATTTGTTGAAACATTCACACAAACATTGTGTGCTACAAAATTAAAAAATTACATATGGCTGATTTATACGTCAACCAAAAAAAGGTCAGAAAAGGCAACCCCAAAAAAAATTCTGGTTAAGCCACTGCGCCAGTTGAAACGGGCCATTTATGCCAAAAGAAGCACAAGAACTGGGCAATTATATTTGCACAGGTGATAGGAGTGAAGTCGGAAGACGATTATGACTCCACTCCGGTCGTGAAAAATTACACATGAAACTTTTAAAATACTCTCCTTTTTGGCTCTTGTGCTCTCGACGCGTTGTTTTTTCCCGCCCGTCTATTTTTAAATTTTGCTGAATTCTACGAAGAAGTTTTTAGCAATTTTGGCTTTTTAGGAAGAGTTTTTGTTTGTGATCATCAGAAAAGCGTTAGTGTTTAAGTTTTTGTGGTTTTTTGTTGGTTTTGGGATATATCTAAGATCCTATTGACAAAAAATAATTTTCGTATTTTTGTTCATTCAAACGAATAATATATATATATATATATATATATATATATATATATATATATATATATATATATAACGCATATTTGTTTTTAATGTAACATTATTCACCAATATTATCAAAAAGTTAATATTGTAATCATAGCTTTTAACTTTGACAAATGGAAAGAACACAAAACCAACAATTACTCTACTCTCACAGCCATCAAATCTTAACAACGGTCGCAAAAATTTTAAACTTTAAAAAGTTTGAAGGTTTTACAATGGGCTTTTACAACTTACCGCTAATGAATTTAATTTGGACAGATTACCTTAGAAAATAACCTAATAAACTGTTGTGCTTCATCATCCTCTCACATAATGCAACAGCGTGGAAACGCCATTTTAATAAACTAATGATCCCTATTTTTATTCATTTGAGTTAATAACTGAAGAAATAGATTATTATTGGATTATTTTGCCATATTTCATTATAAGTCATTTTAAATTTGCATTGAATTTTATTTTAGTTTTTCTTTTGCCATTCCTATAATTAGTTTTAACAAGGCCTTAAAGAATGTACATGACCTAGGGTAATCATTCGTTATGATAAGTTTTGTTCACTCAATCTTAACTTAAACGACTGTAATTGAATGAATGAATGAATGAATGAAGAATGGGTAATTTTTTAGAAATAAAATTTTATCATTGCCAAAGTCAAATTTTTAACGATTGGTCACGTAACTCAATCAAATTTTGTTCACTCAATCTTAACTTAAACGACTCTAATTGAATGAATGAATGAATGAATGAATGAATGAATAATGAATGAATAATTGAATGAACGAACGAACGAACAAACAAACAAACGACTGAATGAACAATCGAATGAAAAAATGAATGAATAAATCGACCTCTTCGGTGGAAAAGTTCGCCTTGCCTTGGTTATTTGGATCTTTCTTTGTGAAAGTATCTTAAAAATAAAAATAATAACTAACAATAACAAAAATAATAACAATATTAACTATAACAACAATAATAATAATATCAACAGTGTTTGTTTGACCCTCAAGCTCTCGCCATTAGCTTTAAATATTAAATGCATATGTATAAAGTCAAACAATTCTCAAATAAATAAATTTAATTATTATCTATAACAAAGGATTGATTTATTTTAAGGATTTATGTTTATTACTTTAAAAATAACCTCAAAATTGATTTAATTTTTTAATTAATTAATTTAATGATTTGTGAAAAAAAAACTTAAAGTGGAAACCATCGAAATTTAAAGGAATGAGGCTCAACTAACCAAATAGTGTCTTCAGCTTAACGTAGCAGGCTACAAAGTTGTCGAATCGTACTTTGCCTGTGTGTGTGTGTGTGTGCGTGTGTGTGAATGTATTTGCGTGTATGTGTGTGCCCTGAACTTTCTACAAACACTCAGTGAACATGCGTCAGAGTTATAATTTGTCATTTTCATCATCATCATCATCATCATGTGTGACCATCATCATCATCCTCATCATCGTCGTCATCATCATCACCATCATCATCGTCGTCATCATCATCACCGTCACTCACCCTCTCTATCGCTGTACCTCACAATGATAGCGTTCAAGGTGGCGTTACTGATTCGCATTCCTGATTGGTTGGTTAATTGGTTGATGAAATGAATGAACGATTGATTGATAGATTTATAGATTGAATGAATGAATAAAGAGTGAATGATTGATTGATTGATTGATTAATTGATTGATTGATTGACTGATTGATTGATCATTGTACTTAATAGTTAGTTGAACCTCTTATTGTATGATTGACACGTTAAAATGAGTATTTATGACCGATTGATTTCGTTGTAAATAAATAATTGATCAACTGGCTGATTGACTGATTGATTAATTGAATGAATAATTGAATGAATGAATGAATGAATGAATGAATGAAAAAATGAATAAATGTGAATGAATGAATGAAAAAATGATTGAATGCATGAATAAATGATTGAATGATTGATAGATAGATTGACTAGTTGAACGATTGATATAATATATATATGCCAAAATCAGTGCAAAAATTAAACTTGATGTGTAGAAGATAAGATAATAATTATAACAATAAGATAATAAAAGAAAAAACTTGAAGCATAAAATAATAATAAAATCAATCATAAAACTATAAAAACTATTACAGAGAATAATTTATAAATATTACTACTTTTAATAATAATATTATGATTAATTATGGATGGGAAATAATTATATATATATTACTTAATTACTTCACACACACACACACACACACACACACACACACACACACACACACACACACACACACACACACACACACACACACACACACACACACACATATATATATATATATATATAAGACCCAGACGCTTGCTGTTGGTACGCGGCAGCAGTTGTCGATAATTCGTACAAACTCGATTGATGTGGTAGAAGTTGAGGTGTCATTTGCTTCTACAGCCTTAAATTTGAGTGTATGGTTGGATAGCAGGTTCTCAAAGAAAGGTCACGTTAAATGGCTAGCAATCGCAAGTGTGATACATCTCAGAAAATTATACAAAATTCGACACTGTTTGAATAGGCCTGCCGTGGTAGCACTGGTACATGCTTTTGTTACATCAACAGAGCATTATTGCAGTAGTTGCTACTTTAAACTACCGGACATGTCAGTAACTGCACTCCAGTTAATTCAAATTAGAGCTGCGAAACTTGTCAGAAAAAATTTTGAAGTTTTATCATGCGACTCCAATCTTAAACCCGATCTTAAACGAACTACACTGGCTAAAAATTGATAAGAGGATAATCTCCAGACTTGCTGTGTTAATGTTTCGTTCATTAATTACACGACTTGGCACCGCAGTATTTGACATGCAAGTTCCTCATAAAAACATCTGCGTTGGTTCACGCAGATGATATCACGCAGATGATACGAACCACCTCCTGGTTTGGACCATGCCAGCAGCGAATTTACAGATTCGGATCATGGAATATTGCCACTGATGGGCCTGTGGTTTAAGAAGACAAGATATATCTTTGATTTTGTTTAAATAGGGAGCTGAAGACTCACTTATTTACTTATTTCTGTAGAACTAACAATGTTTCTGTTTCTTCTGATTCATTACTGTTTTTGTTTCTGATTCGTTTGTTCTTTGTAATTAGCTCTTTACAAATTGACTTTGTAATAATAATAATGATAATAATAACAATAATAATAATAATAATAATAATAATAATAATAATATATAATGAGTAATTAATTATCTTATTTAACTGTAATCACAAATTAATTAAATAATATTTATAGGCTAAATAGTTTATCTATTCATCCATTCATTCATTGGTTGAAACCTGGAATGCCGCATTTTGATTGGCACGCTGTCGTCATCATTATCAATACCATCATCATCGTCATCATTATCATCATCACCATCATCGTTATCATCATCATCTAAATCTTCTTAATAATCATCATCATCAACTTATTCACCACCATCATCATCATCATCTATACCATCATCGTCATCGTCATCAAATCCTCATCTTTTTCTTTTTCATCATCGTCATCATCATCATCATCATCATCGTCATTATCATTACTACCATCGTTATCGTCATCATCACCACCACGGTCATCATCATTATCATCACCGAATGTACCGACCGACATTAGTTAGGACGGTCTTGAAGTCGAAACTGTTGAAGCAACCCGTATTCTCAAGGTCAGCCAACTTGAACGCCCTCTTCATGGTGATGATGATGATGTGGTGATGATGATGATGTGGTGATGATGTGGTGATGATGATGATGTGGTGATGATGATGATGTGGTGATGATGATGATGTGGTGATGATGATGATGTGGTGATGATGATGATGTGGTGATGATGATGATGTGGTGATGATGATGATGTGGTGATGATGATGATGTGGTGATGATGATGATGTGGTGATGATGTGGTGATGATGATGATGTGGTGATGATGTGGTGATGATGTGGTGATGATGATGATGTAGCGATGAAGATGATGATAATGATGATGTGGCGATCATCATCATCATCATCATCATCAACATCGCCATCATCATCATCAACATCGACATTGACATCATCAGTAGCAACAGCAGCGTCGGCAGCGCCCTCACCACACCACCTTGCATATCGTCAGATCGGTCCACAGCGCCTTGAAGTCTTCGAAGCCCAGCTTGCCAGAGAAATCAAACTGAAGAAAAAAAATCAATAGAGATCACCATCGTCATCATCGTTATCATCATCATCACCACCATCGTTATCATCATCACCGCCGCCATCATCGTCATCGCTATCATCACCACCATCAACAACATCATCATCAAGATCGTCGCTGACATCTCTCATGGCCACCATACTTCTCGTCAGATCGATGCTGAAGCCTTTGAAGTCAAACTCTGAGAAAAAATTTAGGATTGCGAATATTTAATACTGTTGCATCATCTACAAAGACAAACAAACAAATAAACACACATATACAAAAACACAAACAGGCACACTCAAAAAAGTGAACTTTCATCATCAATGATGACGATGATGAAACAGACCTTTCATGAAATTATACATTTATATATTCACTGCATATATTCATTGCATTTATACAGGGTCCATTTAAAAAAATCATCTAAAAATTTAAAATAATCATCACAGGCGCTTCAATATTTTAAATGCTATTAAGAACTGAAGAGATGGGTTCTCAAATGTCTCTTAAACTGACTTAGAGCAAAATCACCACTGCCCAAAGTCTTTGGAAGGCTATTCCACAACCGTGCTCCAACGACAGCAAGGCTTCGAGATCCAATCTTGAGGTTTGTCTTTGACACACGCACAAAATTTGAATCAGCAGACCTCAATTCCTATTTTGACAACTTTGTTTTATCATTAGTGAACAAATCGATCATATTTTGTGGTGTAACATTATTCAAAGACTTATAAAGTAATACACATAATTTAAAAACAGTTTTCCTATCAACCCTCAACCAATGCAACGCCTCCAGTATTGGGCTCACGTGATCAACTTACTACCCCCAACCACAACTTTAGCCCCCCTCTGTTTTGAATTGACTGCAACTTGGATAAATCACGCTTTGGTATTTCGTAATAAAGACAGTTACAAAAATCCAAACAAGCATGGATGAAAAAATGAACCGGAGTTCAAGGTGTCTTCGGGTTAGAGGTTAAACATTTTCTCGCTTTTCTAAGCAGACGCAGCTGAAGCCTCACTACAACAAAGCACCAGTCTGTCGCGTGATTCCTTTCAATGCAAGAAACAAGCAAGCAAAAAATGTTTGTAATGAATTTTATTGACGTAATACTATAATTAAAATAAAAAAGGTATTCAGCTATACGATACGAATTGACAAAGAGAGGTTCGATCACAAACTGATTTGAAACAAATGTAGGTAACATGATTACAATGCAATAAAATGCAATAACGTGTGAATGTACATGATACGCATATACAAACACACTTTTGCACACACACCGTTACACACACACACACACACACACACACACACACACACACACACACACACACACAAGTAAACATCGGTCACCAATTATAATGACAATAAAGCAGATCAGAAGTTAGTCTTCACAAGATTCTATCTCCTCATTTTGAAATTTTTGAAAAAAAAAAAAGAGATTGAAAAAAATACCTTTCATAAAATATTGATTGAGGATGGATTGCAATTCAAAAGCATCTATCTCTCCGTCGGATCCGGCTAAATTTAGGAAACCTTGCTTCGCCCTATCCTTGCTCGCCTTGTCTTCCGGAGTTTTTGGGATGTTAGCCGCATCCTGGATGAATGGGTGAGTGAGTAAGTGAATGAATGAGTGAGTGAGTTAATTAATGAATGATTGAGTTAATGAATGAATGAGTGAGTGAGTGAGTTAATGAGTGAGTGAGTGAGTGAATGAGCGAGTGTAGAGTCTGTCAAAAATGAATGGTTGGATGAAAAACGTAAGCGACATAATTAGATTCACCAACGTCATCATCATCATCATCGTCATCATAACAACCTTATCGACGACTCCGCTCGTATCGTCAAGTTCTCTGTAAAATAAATTAAAAAAAAAAATTTCTAGTCGCCATCATCATCACCACCATGATCATCATCATCATCACCACCACCATCATCATCATCATCAGTACCACCAGTATCATAATCATCATCACAACCACCATGATAATCATCTTCATCATCATCACCATCATAACTCACGATCCTTTATACTCCCTCTCACTGAAGATCCTCAATATAAAATCGCCCTCGTCGTTCGGTTCAAAGGTCGAGGGCACGACGATGAAGTCGCCCGGTGGTAGCCTGTGGTGGTCCGAGACCTGGAGTGGCGTGGTGGTGATGATGGTAGCGATGATGGCGCTCGTGATTGTGATGGCGATCATGACGATGACGACGACAATGGTGAAGATAAAAAAAAAATGATGACGATGATGAAAACGATGATGATGATGAAGGTGATGATGATGAAGGTGATGATGATGAAGGTGATGATGATGATGATGATGATGATGAAGGTGATGATGATGATGATGATGAAGGTGATGATGATGAAGATGATAATCAGCACCTCCCGCAGATTGCTGAAGACGGAAGACTTGGCAGCGGCTGCATTGGTCTCAAAAAATCTCCGATCCAAGGTTCCCGTTACATATTGAGGCGCCTGCCATGGTAATGATGATGATGGTGATGAAGATGATGATGGTGACGATGATGATGGTGGTGACGATGATGATGACGATGATGGAAACCTTAGACTGACTACACGTCAGCGTAAGATTCCTACCTAAGCTTCACTTCACTTTTAAATGGCGAATTAAACACTCGGTCGTTGGAAACAAATTCACCATTATTATTATCATTATTATAATTATTATTATTATTATCATTACCATCACCACCATTATCATCATCATCATCATCATCATCACTTTATAGACGGCGTATCCTATAGTGAGGAGGTCCACTCCTTCTTTTTTCATCCTCCTCCTCTCCTTCTGCATGACGCCCACCAGGATGGTGCCTTGTGATTGGTTGGTTGGTTGATTGATTGATTGGTTGGTTGATTGATCGGTTGGTTGATTGGTTGGTTGATTGTTGGTTGATTGATCAGCGTTCAAATCAATCAATTATTCAACTAATCAATTAACCATTCAATCAATTATCCATTCAATCAATTATCCATTCATTCATCCATTCAGTCATTCATTCATTCATTCGTTCATTCATTCATTCACCTTTTCCGTCATATGAATTCTCATCGGCCATTGCCACGTTCACTCTGTACTGTGGGTTCGTCCAAAAAGAAGCTGGATGAATGAAATAACGAATGTATGAATGAATGAACGAATGAATAAATAAACGAATTAATTAATTAACGTATGAGTGAACAATTGAATGAATGAACGAAACATCGAACGATTATACAAACGAACAAAAAATTCTCAAAGCCATCAACCGTTCCACGCAACGATAAAATACAATATTAAACCAACCCACCCACCAATCAAACCAAGCTCCACCCACCCATCCACCCACCAATATAGTTTCTGCACCCCCCGGCGTTGACCCTTTTCCTCCAAGAGCCCTCAAACAGGATGCCCTCCCACTTCCTCTTTCCGGTCTTTTCTTCGTGTTCGTTCAAACTGTCCGGGCCGAGAAAGCAGATTTCAAGTTTCTCGAAGTTTCGAACGAAGTCTTTGTAACTCATCCTGATGATGATGATGATGATTGTGATGGTGATGATGGTTGGTGGTGATGGTGATGATGACGGTGTTGGTGATGGTGGTGATGATCATACCAGAACTCTCCGTCATGTTCGAATGTCAGCCCCAGGGCCCTCTTCTCATCTTGCGGAACCAACTGCCATTCCTGGGACCTGTGATGATGATGATGACGACGGTGATGATGATGATGATAGTGTGATGGTGCTGAAGATGATGATTATGATGGCGTGACGATGACGACGATGCTGTGATGATGATGATAGTGTTATGGTGATGATGATAGTGTTATGGTGATGATGATAGTGTTATGGTGGTGATGATAGTGTTATGTTAATGATGATAGTGTTATGGTGATGATGGTGGTTATGGTGATAATATAGTGTTATGGTGATGATGGTGGTTATGGTGATGTGACGATAGTGTTATGGTGATGATGGTGGTTATGGTGATGATGATAGTGTTATGGCGATGATGGTGATTATGGTGATGATGATGATGGTGAATGAGGTGATGATAATGATAATGACGGAAATGTGGATGATGGTAATGTTGGCAGAGTAACCATCGACTTAACACAGCTATTACCATCACCATCATCATAACCCACCCATCGCTCCATGCCCCCTTCCATTCGTGACTATCCCCCCAGGGGTTCCTAACTCTCAGTAATGGTATCGCCCCCTCCTGATTGGATGTTCGAACTTTCACCTGGACCAATCAGCAAGAGATTAGAATTATAAACTTTTACCAGAACCAACAAAAAATGGGGAAAAGTTTGAAATTTTCACCTGGAACCAATCAGAACACGAAGAACTAATCTCAGATTTTAAAATGTAAATTATCATATCGTCGTCATCTCATTCTCATCATCACCATAATACCATCATCATCATCATCATCATCATCACTCTAACATCATCACCATCACTGTAACATCATCATCATCATCATCATCATCGTCACTGTAACATCATCATCATCAACGCCATAATACGATCATCATCAGCACTGTAACATCATCATCATCATTACCATAATACGATCATCATCATCATCATCACCATAATACGATCATCATCAGCACTGTAACATCATCATCATCATCACCATAATACGATCATCATCAGCACTGTAACATCATCATCATTACCATAATACGATCATCATCAGCACTGTAACATCATCATCATCATTACCATAATGCGATCATCATCATCACTGTAACATCATCATCATCATCATCACCGGGACAACCTGCTTGACCGCAGTGATTGAGTAGGCGTGGCCAATGATTAGGCCGTTGGTCAGTTTAGCCTCCATTTGACTTTCTTCAGCCTGTTACATCATCATCACATCATCATTACATCGTCACCATCATAATTATACCACCACCATCATCATCATCATCACCATTGCCACCACCATCCGTATTGAATTGTTTATTCATTCAAAATAGACGAGCATCATCATCACCATAAAGATCATTACCATCATCATCATCATCATAAACATCATTACCATCATCATCGTCATCAGTATAAAGATCATTACCACCACCACCACCGTCGTCATCATCACTAACGTCGATGGAGCAGCCCATGAGCGCACCTTTCCTGGAGGCTCTCTCCATGATCATGAAGAGATCAGACGGGGCTTTGTCCCTTAACTCATATCTGTGTGTGTGTGTTTCTTTGTGTCTGTCTGTCTGTGAGTGTGTTGTGTCCGTGCGTGTGTGCGTCCGTGTATTATTTAGGGAAGCATGTACATATGAAACACAATTTTTAGATTAAGTACGTATAAAATATCGTTATAACCGACCCCTTGAACTTGTAGGGGTCAGGGTTATTTCTCTCTACGAGGATTCTCGATTTCTAGGCAGACTAATTCCAGATGAACTTTATCAGAAAGAAAACAGTGCTGGCGATCACTTGCGCGTATTGCCGTGATCAATCACTCGTTTATTCAATCGTTAAAATCGTTAGAATGCAGCACAGTAGCTAATCGACAGGCAAATCACGGAATGAAACCAATCGTCAATTATCTTATTATTAAGCTCCTCTCGTCAGATGTTTCTTGGCCGTGAATCCTCAGTAGCCGCTTCTCGTCAGATTTTATCGTAACTCACTCGCAGACCGCGTGTGGAATTTTCCCTGATAAACTTTTCCTCGGACGTTATCGCTGATTTGCTTGCAGTTCGCACACAAAACTTCTCTGCGATAGTAGGACTCTTCTCCTGATCGAAACTTCCTCTGACCTCTTCTTAATTCTCGTTCTTCTTTTTCGTCGTTCTCTCTCTCTCTCTCTCTCTCTCTCTAATTCTCGTTCTTCTTTTTCGTTGTTTCTCTCTCTCTCTCTCTCTCTCTCTCCTGAATCTCGTCTTTGCGTTGTTTATATAGCTACCGATACAAAGGGAGGCCTATATACCAACATACAACACTTTCTTGTGACTTGAAGCAGCAGGGATATGCAAAGAATTTCAATTTTTTCAACTCTTAATTAATTTTGGTAATGTCGATTTTATTATTATAAATTTGTACCAAATAAAAGTAATTGATTACCACATTGAATAACAATTAAAAAAATTAAAGTTTTAGCATTTTAAATAAAAGCAACATTCCTAAATTAGTAAATATACGATCTCAACTTTTGACTCGAACGATAAAAAATCACCCTCCAACTGCCCTCCGAAGTAAGCTCCATATTCGACTGTTAAAAGTGAGCGAAGGCCGTTATATTTATTCTAGTTATGTAGACCGATCTGCTTGTAAAGTTGCCACATAGCAGTGTCTCATGTCCATAATCGAATTTATTTATAACCAATTTTATTACTTTACACCTTCTAATTAATTTACAAGCGGTTCATTCCTCAACAATTTCTAACTATTAGTTTTTTTTTATCTCGACCTCACGTCTGTAATTATATCATTACACCCACACACAATCACAAACACACACACACGCGCGCGCACACACACACGCATACACACACACGCACACATCACCATCACTACCATCATAATGAAGACCACCAACCTCTCCACAACCCCCCCTGTAAAATCAGTGAGGGCTTCACTGGTCAGACCGCCACTCAGAGACTCGTAAGACCCACATAGCCTGGTTGGGGCGACGATAATGATGATGATTATTTTAGTTATGGTGATGATGATGGCGATGTCAAAGTCAAATAACCAGTCATTCACTCACTCATTCATTTATTTACTCGTTCACTCACTCACTCATTCCTTCACTAACTCACTCACTCATTCCTTCACTAACTCACTAACTCACTCACTCACTCACTCACTCATTCCTTCACTAACTCACTAACTCACTCGCTCACTCATTCACTCACTCACTTGGCGTATGCTTTTTCGAGTAGTGCACTCCAGAATTCATTCCTCTCTTCGGAGTGCATGTAGATGAGTTTGTTGCCCTGGCAGGGCAAGCGGTCGTCTATGAACACCTCCACCCACCTCCCGTACTGCCAGAACCGGAAACGGAAAATGCCTGCAGGTGGTAATGATGATGATGATGGTGATTTTGATTGTGGTGGTGATGATGATGGTGATGATTTTGGTGGTGGTGATGATCGTGGTGATGATGATAATGACGATGAAACGATAAGAAATGTGAGTAAGACATCGATAGCAAATAACATTGCGGTTGTAATCCTTGCGATGATATGTATCTTTTTTTTCAAAAGAAATGCCTTGAAACAACAACAACAACAACACAAGCACTTGTTGTTGATATGTCTAAAAACTGAAGAGATACACTACCACAAAACAAACCTCCATAATTCTGGCTGAATGATTGGTCGGGTAGGACTACTTTGTGAAGCAATTGCTCATTGGTCGTGAGGCAGGCTATGGCAGCCAATAGCCAACAATCTCCTGAATTTTTGAATAAATTTGCATAAATTAGCTTTTGGTCGGCTTCCGTTAGATATTTGAATAAACTTGCATAATTAATATTTTGGTTATCTTGGATTAGGTTGATATCCGAACAAATTTGCATGAATTTGCGTTCATTCAAATAAGTTTACATAAATTTGTTGAATCGTCATCATCGCCATCATCATCATCATCATCATCACGATCACGTGACCGACCCAGCACTCCCTGGATGACATCCATCCTACTTCCGCCGGCCACGAACAGCTCAGGATTTGAACTGATTTCCTGGTGGGATGTTGTTGATGATGATGACGACGACGTTGCAATCATAATCATAACCATCCTTTTCCCGTATCATCATTACCAACACCACCACCACAACCACCACCATCATCATCATAACAGCTAACGTGTGGTCTCTTCCACTGAATGTTGGGCCAGCCAGATGGGGGCTTCCGGAAGAACATGGAACTCGCTACTGCCGGAAAATCTGGATCCTCCCAGAGTTTACCTGAAATGATGATTAGGATGATGGTGATGATTATGACGATGGTGGTGATGATTATGATGATGATGGTGATGTACAATGGCAGTCATCCAACTGACCAACAAACCAACCAACTAACCAACCAACCAGCCAACCAACCAGCCAGCCAGCCAGCCAGCCAGCCAGCCAGCCAGCCAGCCAGCCAGCCAGCCAGCCAGCCAGCCAACCAACCAACCAACCAACCAGCCAGCCAGCCAGCCAACCAGCCAGCCAGCCAGCCAACCAACCAGCCAACCAACCAGTTCTGACGCATTCGGCCTTAATCTCTTCAAACGATTTGTACTGCACGCCAGGTTGCCTTGGCAAATATTCAGTGGTTCGTGCCTGGGGAATTATAATGGTGAAGATGATGATGACGACGATGACGATGATGACGACGATGATGATGACGATCATGACTACAAGAGATATATGCAAATATTTCCAACCTGTCCCTTGCCCGTATCCCGAATTGTCGTCCTCACTTCCTCATCCCCCTTGTCTATACGAGGCGTCCAGCCTGAATGAATGGATGAATGAATGGATGAATGAATGAACTAACCAACCAATCAATCAATCAACCAACGTACCCACTCAACCAACCAATCAATCTACCAACACAACCAGCCAACCGGCCAACCAACCAACCAACCATCCAACCAACCAGCCAACCAACCAACCTTTAACATAGGTTTTAGACGTGGGAAGGCCCGCGGGAAACTTCAACCCAGAAGGGAGGGAGAACCCGCCAATGTTAATCTTGCTCAAGTCGATCTCACCTGTCTTCTGGTAATCCTGGATGACCCCCGCTGCGGCCTTCCCTATGGACTTGGCCATGTCTCCCAGCTTGAATGAATGAAGAACGAATGAAGAAACGAATGAATAAATGGTTGGATGGATGAAAAAAAATTAACGGATTAATGATTGAATAAATGAGAGAAAGAATGATTGTGCGTACATACAAAAGTGTGTGTTTGTGTGTGTGTGTGTGTGTGTGTGTGTGTGTGTGTGTGTGTGTGTGTGTGTGTGTGGTGTGAACGTTGCATGCAAATGACTTATAGAGATGCAAGCGAACCATATTAATATCAGTTAAATGATTTTAAAACAATTAAAAATTTATCAGTTTGAAGGATGGTTTGTCAATCCTGTTTAGCACAGTAGAGACAGACTCACATTAACATAGACTAAATAATTTTATTAATTTGCATAAATTTGAAAAGAAAAATAACGAAAATTAGTTTCGCCTAATTGAAGACTCATTCAAATTACTTTTAAACACTTTTGTTCGTGGGCTCATTTTCAATTTTATTTATTCACGTTTATAAGTTTGTCATTAATTTTTACATTGATTATAGTATTGTTTAACATTCATTCGTTCTTTCGTTCTTTTCATTCTTTCATTCACTTATTTGTTCACTCATTCGTTTGTTCGTTCGTTCATTAATTCATCCTATTGATGTCATCTCAGTAACGGCTCTATCCGCACAGCATGGCACCGTCACAATGTCTAATTTGGACTCAATGATTTAGTGAATGAACGAATGAATGAACGAATAAATGAACGTCATGAACGAACGAACGAACGAATGAAGAAATAAGCTAATGAATACATGAATGAACGAAAGTAAAAGTGAACAAAAGAACAAATAGAAGTATGAAAGAACAAACAAATGAACGAGCCAAAAAATAAGTGAATGAATAAATGAATAAACGAATAAATGAATGAATGAATGAATGAATGAATGAATGAATGAATGAATGAACGAATGATTGAACGAATGATTGACAGAATATCACTGGCTTAATCTTCTAAACACAAATAAACACAAACACACTGAAATAAAACAAAATCAAAATAACCGTAAGAATACAAATAATACAAATAATAATACAAATACAATTCCTACCAGCATTTAAAAACACCAATAACAAAAATGCAAAGCCATACAAGTATACAAGAACAGCAATACAATTGCGTACAAGTCTTGCAATCAGAACACAACAACATATGTATGTGTGTTTATGTATGTATGTATGTGTGTATGTGTGTGTGTGTGTGTGTGTGATGCATGTGTATGGTGCATGTGTATGTATGTGTGTGTGTGCCTTTCTTAGATCTTTTGTTTGTAGTTTTTGTATGAATTATGTGTGAACTGTAAGATGCAAAACAAATATAACATTCTCTTAGGTTGTAATTTCATAATGATACAGTGAGGATGAGAAGATAAGATTTTTTTTTTCATTCATTCATTTGTTTGTTCGTTCGTTCCCTCACTTTTCATACATACACTCGTTTATTCATTCTTTCATGTCTTTAATCATATTAGTCTGTATGTATGTTTGTATGTATGCGTCGTATACATACAAACATACATAAAAATATGTATATTTTTTAAAACAACTCTTCAATCATATTAGTCTATTATTCCATCTTTCACTTATTGATTTATCTGTAATCGTATTATTTATCTGTTTTCTCATTCTGTCATTCATGCATTATTAGTACCTCTACTTGTTCAATCTTTCCTTCATTCATTCATTTATTCATTCATTCATTCTTTCAATCAATTGTATTACTAAAATTATTTATGGATCAGAACTGGCTACATAATTATAATTCAATACATTATCATTCATTCATTTTATCTATCTATCTATCATTTATTCATTCACAGACATTCTTTCTTTCTTATAGCATACCATTTAAAATAATTTAGGGTAACTCATCAATAACATAATAACACACACACACACACAACACACACACACACACACACATATATATATATATATATATATATATATATATATATATATATATATATATATATATATAAAATATCCTATGGATATGGGATAGTCTTTTCTTTATCCTTCAAAAAAACTATCTTAAAAAAATAACATATGATAAGATGGGATGGTCCCCAGTTTGAAAAAATAAAAAAAATTAATATGCTCACTTGCAGTTTTTAAATAAAATTGATAATATTTAGCAATTTAAAAAAATATTTAACGAATAAATATATAATAATTAATAATAATAAACTCAAACCATACACACAGACTATTAAAATATCATAAGTATTAAATTAAATTTGCAAAAAGTCTGACAAAGCTTTCTTCTTTTTATACTTATTTTCTTTAATTTTAGAACTCAAACTTATGTAATAAAATAAATAAATAATAAAATAAATTAAATTTGAGATATTTAATAGGTTTTTCAGTAAAATTTGAGTTTCAAAACTTACCCATTTAAATAAAATAAAAATTATATGTAACTATAAAGATAAACAATTAAATTAACTATTAATATTAAAGAATATAATAGTTTGTTTTATATTCTTAATGATAATTGACAATTTTTGAATAATGTAAGATTGTAAGACAATTGTGTTACAATAAATTGTTATTAATTTGTATCAATTAGCAAAATTATTTATTTTTTAAGTAAAAAAATTAACATAAAATAAAAAAAAGGAATTAAGTTAACAAAATTTGTCAAACTCAAAATATTATTAAAAAAAACTCACATTTATATTGCCTAAATTAAACATCTTGACAGCAGCTTCTTCTCAATATACCAAAATAATTCAATTATTTTAATTAACAAGCAACCTTTATTCAAACTTTTTGATAAATTAAATCAAATTTAAAACTTTAATTTGAAGCAAAAACGCTCAAAAACCACAACTCCCTCTCACACACACAACTTCACAATGGCACAACACAGGCAAGAGCTTATAATTGAGATCTTACTAAAATCAGCAAGCACACCGTCTTGCTTAAGTAGGTATGTATGAAACAAAAAAAACCATTACCATCCCAAATAATTATGAATTGTAATATTTTATTTATTTAATATCAATTATATTATACAATCAAATATATTATATAGCTATTCTACCTAAATTATACTTCATACCTTTTTTAGCAATTCTTTTTCAAATCATGTCTGTAGAACATGTTAAGAATATAAAGGCAGGTATCATGTATCACATACAACTATATGGATATCATATCATTTAGTTTGATTTATAGGAGTTAATATTGGTGTATTATATATATCATTCGTCAAATCATTTTATATTTTTATAACCATATATTTGAACTAATACTAAATGTTCCATTTTGTTAAATATATTATTTCTAACTATGTTTAGCAATGAATTTGTGACTAAAATTTCATACTTCTCTGATTCTAGTTCTTTTATTATATTGAAAACTGCTAGAATAAGTTAATTAATTAGCGAAATTGTTAGAATGTTTAATTGCATGCAGTTGAACTGTAACATAATTTAGAAGACATTTATTTTAATTTTTATATAAATTACGCTGCTTGGTTGCATTTCAGGTGGCAAATAAACTTTGAAACTAAGATTCAGAACAGAAACTTCACCAAACCAAACGCCAAAGTTGAGCCACTACTATTATAGAATAATTCAAAACGAATTCTCATAGAACTTTACTTTATTTTCAATTTCCACAATGAAATATTTTTTTATGAATTATAAATAGAAAATGGTAGTTTCCATGAAGATAGTTCATATAATCTCCTCACTTTGGCACAATGCCCATGTCTTTACCAAGAGTCTCCATTTCAGCTGGAAATTAAATTGAAATAAAAGTAAAATCATCAGAAGTATGTTATATCAAATGAGCTAATATTTAATTTTCACACAAATAACATCAATATTATTAAAATATTAAGGTTTAGAAAACAAAACTTTAGTAAACAGACTCAAAAAGATAAACAATTCAAATATTCATCAATCTTTTAAATTAAAGCTATGTATAAGAGATTTCAACATTGAAATTGATATAAAACATAAAAAATAACTTGCCTAATTTAAGAAAAACAAAACAATTGTAAAATAAATTAAAATTTTGAAATTTAACCTTTGGTTTTCTCTTCACGTTCCTTGGCTAAACGTGCATCACGCCTCTGCCTGATGGGTTCGTAGATGGCCTGCAATTTTGCCTCCTTCCTCGATAGATAGTCTGAATTTGATTTAATTTTTTCCTAATTTAAATAACTAACATTTTTAACAAAATGTTTAATGCATATGCTTATAAATCCTTGAACTCATATAAATACTAAACTGCGTTGTATAAGTATACTTGTATATTTATATATTATAACCTGTTTGTTGTTAAAAAGAGAAAAACATTGATTAATATTAAACTAATACTAAACTAACTAAACTATTAAAATTAAACTTACTATTATTATTAATTTATAATAATAGTAAATTTAATTTTTTAATAACTCTTCACAGGCTCATGTGATTTTCTAAAGTTTTATACCGTTGAATTTAAAATTTTTAATTTAAATTGAAAATTAAAATGCGCATGCAGATACAAAAAAATAATCAACTTCACTGACTGTAATGAAAATGGCCGTACAAGACTCCAGTAATCAGGAGACCCCACCTCGAGAACTAGATTTCAAATTGAACAAAAAATAATTAATCCATCTTTCACAATTATTTGTGAAAAATTGAATTGTTAAAATATTTTGCAAACTAACTCTTATAAACGGAGAAACGCTCTTCGGTGGAGACAAGGTCGACATGATAAATTACTATCTTATCGTCGATGTTTTTGGTTAAAAGCAGATCTAAGTTTTTAAAAAATTTTAAAAACTTTGACTTCACTTTTAAACACCAAAACCATTCGGAAAATAGCCCACTTTTAAACACCAAAACCATTCGGAAAATAGCCCACTTTTAAACACCAAAACCATTCGGAAAATAGCCCACTTTTAAACACCAAAACCATTCGGAAAATAGCCAACTAAATGAAACGAACTCGTGTATATCATAGAAAGAAAGAGAGAGAAAGAGAGAGAGAGAGAGAAAGAGAGAGAGAGAGAGAGAGAGCTTGATCCATCACTAATCAGCAACGATACAGATGCGGTTCTCAAAGAAATTTCGAGAAACATATGCATGCAACCCACATACAATTAAATCACACATATTCATAACATGTACATAAACATACACACACAAACATGCATAGCCCATAATATTCTATACATTTTCACCAAAAATTCAAAATTGGACTTATTGTATACAGATTAAACCAACTGTATCAGCCTAATTTATTCACACTTTTTGTTCATTTCAGAATCATTATCACTATTATTTATTACAAATTCTCATTATTCTTCAGTTCATTAGTGTTTCAAAACTAAATTAAATTAGCTCTAGGTAAAGTTCTTTCATCCGATGCTGAGTGACAAAAACACTAACGACATTAATTAGTACCACACAAAAATGTCATTGAAACCGGACAAACGTCATCGACTTATCATCAATAATAATTAATAATTACATAAAATTAATTAATTAATTATTGGAAAGTAATTACATAAACAAAAAAAAAAGATAAATCGACGCCTTTACTATTATAAGAAGAGAGTGAGTGTGGGAGAATGAAAGAATTTATCTGATAACTCCAAATTTCTTAGCTTCTATCTCGTAAACCAGCAGTCTCCACATCTTTACCACGAAGACTTCCGCCTCATCATCCAGTACCTAAGAGTGGGATTAAAAGTAAAATCAAGTTGAAAATATAATGACGTCATATTAGTAGTGGATATTTTAACTAACATGTTATAAAACATTACAGTCCAGTCGAACGACCGGTCAATCAAACATTTTTCGGAAATTCAACAAGATCGAAATTTTAACAAAGAAAAATCACAGCAGACCATAGATATATCAGCCAAGATGGTCGCTGGGGGTATATTCGAGAGAATCTTCTTGCAGATAAAATCAGTTAGCGACGGTTCATCTTCACCTATATATTCAATTATCTTCTTATTAACCCACGGTCGAATTCTTTTGTTTATCAATTCCTAGAAGGAGGAGGAATTATGATAATAAGCTGAATTTATACAAGCAAACAACCAATCAATCAGTCGACCAAACAAACAACCAACCAGTCAATCAATCAGCCAATCAACCAACTAACCAAGCATACAAATAAGCAGTCAACCAATCAACTAACCGAATCAACAAATGACCAGTCGACTTGCCAAGCAAATAATTCATCTTTGTTTATGGGAATACGATCAATAAATGTCTTAATCCACCTCCTTTTTTCCTCAGCTGTCGTCGGGAATGCCGCTCCAGAGGCTGATGTCGTAGATGAGGATGACCCTAAAATTAGGGAGGAAGATGATTGGCCGGATTTTAAATGACGGCTAGGAGAGAAAAGGAGAGATGCTGATGATAGAGAGTGGGAGAGGGTAAAAAATGATTGAGATAATGATGATATTAAGATTGGAAACGACTGCGACGCTGATGATGAAGTATGAAAATGATTCTGAAGAATTGAAACGTTTAAAAAGATGAATATGATCCCAGAATTGAATACCACTAGCTAGCTTGGCAAAAGAGAAGAAAATTAAGTCAAACAACAGAATTACAACCAATCTATGTTACAAAAAAAGACACAATAAACATTTCAAAAAAAACCTTAAAGTAGATCAAAAAAAATGAAAAAAAGGATGACAGTACAAGAAAGTGATCCAAAAACAAACCAACAAAACAAACAAAAACCCTCAACAAACCTGGCAAACTTAAACCCGTACTTCGATTACCGCCACCAGCTCCGGAGACATTGTTACTCCTCTCTTCATCATTTTCCTCCCCGGCCTCGTAATCCAGAGGGACTAACTTTCTCCTTTTTGAATTCTTTCCGCCATCGTCATCGTCGTCATCCTCGTCGTTGTTGAAGACGTCCGATACTGTTGGCTTCTTACGTTTGGAGCCGCTGTTGACGTTACCACTACTGCCACCGCTCCTGTTGCTGTTGTTGTTGCTCGTGGGTGTGGCTGACGTCGTTGTCGCTGCGTTGTTGTTGCTACTGTTGTTGTTACGTTGATGTTGTTGTGGCGGGGAGAATGGGCTGTTGGTGTTACTGGAGTCTGGGGGGAGAGAAAATTCCAAATTAGAATTACGAGAATCTCTCTTCAGTTATAATAAATAAGTAATAATAATCATTAATAAATTAATAATTATTAATCAATTCACTGCAATTTACTGTCCAACTCCAACTGAACATTTACAAACTTTTAACGATGGAATTTTTATCAAAAAAAAAAGTACAACCCCTTAGACAAGAAATGAAATCTAAAAGGTAAAAAACAAATGAAATCTAAATACCACCACAAGACGTGGAAAACAAAGAACAAACAAAACACCAACCAAATCTATTAATATTATTCAAGTTGTTAGTAAGAGCAACTTTCGATGAACTAGCACTGCGAGCGGGCATACTGGGGGGTCCGCCCATCGAGTCCTCAGAATTGTAGTTTAGGCTATTAGTGAAACCGCCTAAATTAGACGACGACGGCGGATTGGATGATTCGCTGAAAATTAGATTATTATTATTACTAATATTAACGCTATTGGACGATTGCGAGTTGTCGACAGCTGGTAGCATATCGACGTCATTGTCGTGGTCGTTGTGGCCATCTTCACTGTTGCTATCGTCGTTAGCCGGACTGTACAGGTTACTATTTTTACTTTTACTCTTTTTAACGTTATTATTATTATTATTATTATTATTATTATTATTATCATTAACGCTACCATCATCGTCATCGTCTGAGTGTAAATCAGGCGCGGAGTTGACGGGCCTGAGAGACGAAGAAAGAAAATTATTATTATTATTATTGTTGTTGTTGTTGTTGTTTACGATGACCACACCGTCGTCGTCGTCTTCGACGTTCATGACGATGACCGGCGAGTCCGAGTTGGGCGACATGTGGGAGGGGTTGGTGATGCGCGGTAGGAGGTGCTCCTCTCTCTCTCTCTCTATCTGTTTGTTGGGGTTCGGATTAGTAAGGATTAGTGAGAGTCCATAGGCTGAGGAATGAATATTCATTCCCTAAGAACTTTTCCTTTATTACAAAACAGACAGAATTAGCATACAACGAGAAACAACAAGCAAGCAAGCAGCCACTAAAAAAGCATTGAAAATGCTATGAGCCACATCAACGAACAAACAAATAGCAAACAACGCTAAACAACACCAACCAATCGAACGAACGATGGAGAAAACAATACCAAGCAAACAAACAACCAAACAAACAACTGACCCTGGCCATTTCAAGTTCAAGGTCGGGGTGACCTTCCTCTCTCAATTTGTTCTTTATCTCTTCCAGTTCTTCTCTCTCCTTCTGCTTATCTCTATCATCTGCTTCCACTTCCTTCTGTCGTTCGTTCAGTCGCCGCTGAAGGGCACTTCCTCTGTTTATTAATGTTGGATCGAATGATGGAAGGATGGACCAATAAATGAATGAATAAACAATCGAATGAATGGACAAGCAAACTATCACGATGAATTATGAAATTATCAAAATTAAAAAATGAATTATCAAAACACGCTATGAATGTATGAATGAATAAACGAACGAACGAATGAATGAACGAACGAATGAATGAACGAACGAACGAATGAATGAACGTATGAATGAACGAATGAATGAACGAACGAATGAATGAAAGAAAGACGAAAGAATGGAAAGAAACCAAACAAAACGCCAACTTATAATATTTGACGTCATCTCTCTGATCATTGTAATCCTCCAAAAACTCTCTCAGCCTCTTTGACTCCTTGTTCTCCTCCACCCTCCTCTCCTTCTCTCTCACTCTCTCTTTCTCATACTCTCTTGATTTCTTCCTCTCTCTCGATTCCCATTTTCTCAAGAGCTGCGTGTATGAGTGCGTGTGTACGTGTGTGTATGTACGTGTGTATGTGTGCGTGCGTGTTAGTTAAGAGAGAATAATTATAACTGATCCATAAATTTTTGTATTACTTCCTATCCCTCAACCAACCAACCAATCGACCAGCCAACAAACGAGCCAACCAACCAACCAATCGACCAGCCAACAAACGAACCAACCAACCAACCAATCATTCAAACACAGCAAACAACAAACACATCAACCAACCAACTAACAAGCCAACCAACCAACCAGCCAACCAACCAACTAACCTCTTGATAGGCTGCCTCCTTCTCTCTCAGCTTCCTTTCCAATTTCTTCCTCTCGTAAACCTCCTCGTCATCTTCTCCCTCGACATCTCTATCGCGTGACCTGCGTTTAAAAAAAATGACCACGTGACGTTAATGACCACGTGACGTAATCATGAATGTAAACAAAAATAAAAGAAGATGACGCAATAGATGATGGTAGCAGCTAGTGGTTTTAATAAATTAATTATTTAAATACTGAACTGACTGGGGAATAGATTGAAGAATGAATGAAAAAAATCAATCAGCCAGCCAATCAACCAATCAATTAATTAATGATTTAAATAACTAACCAATTAACCAATTAATTAATTAATTAATCAACCGCCAATCAATCAATCAATCAATCAATCAATCAATCAATCAATCAATCAATCAATCAATCAATCAATCAATCAATCAATCAATCAATCAATCAATTAGCTAACTTTTTATCAAGAACAATAACAGGTGAGGCATCTCTTGTCTTTGACCGACTTTTATTCATCCTCTCCCGCTCCCGTTCCCTCTCTCGTTCTCTCTTCTCCCTGATTGGTTAGCCACAGTTGGACGAGAGCCAATTAGAAACGATCACTCAAAATCATCATCATAAACATAATCCTCATCCTTACAATCATTATCACCATCATAATCATTATCATTATTATCATCATCATAACTCGCCTTTCATACTCCTCTCTTTCTTTAATCTTCTCTCGTTCTCTCAATCTTTCCTCCTCTCTCCTCTTAATTCTTTCTCTCTCTCTATCCCTCTCTCTCTCGCGTTCCCTCTCCCTCTCTCTTTCTCTATCTCGCTCCCTCTCTCTATCTCGCTCTCTTTCTCTCTCGCTCCTGCTATCCTTGTTGCTTCGATCCTTCCTTCTGCTGCTGCCTCTGTCATCCTTGCTGGGATCTGAATTCTTTTTTTGTGTGGGTTTGGAATATCATTGCAAACATACATACACATGAAAACAGACACACATGCATATATAGCAATACACAAACAACACACGCACACACACACACACACACATATACATACATACATACATACATCCATACATACATATATATTCTTTGTTTGTTTGTATGTACAAATACAAACAAGCAAAAAAGCACGCACGCACGCACACACACTCAGATATATACAAACAAGCACACACATACATACACGCACACACACATATACCAAATGAGCATCTCTAAAATTTCTGATCTCCTTATTAACAAGCTGCTTCAGATCATCTGCCATATCCATTCCAGCCAGGTCCTAGATTAGAAAGAAGAAGGGGGTTGGATTGATTAGTTGATTGATTGTTTAGTTGATTGACTGATTAATTGATTAGTTGGTTGATTGATTGACTGGTTGATTGATTAGCAGTTGATTGATTGATTGGTCGGTTGATTGATTAATCAGTCAGTTGATTGATTAATTAATTGGTCAAATAGTTTACTGACTAATTACAAAACCAATCTATTTTATTTATTAAACTGGTTAATTTGTTTGACTGATCATTATGTTCATTGACATATTGTTGAACTGGCTGAGTGACTGAATTGAATGATTGACTGATATATTCAATTAGCTGATTGGCTATACAAAAAAAATTGACTGACTGATTTACTGACTGATTAACTAATTGATTGATTGGTTGGTTAGTTTATTGACTGACTGATTGACTGATTGACTAATTAATTGATTGATTGATTGGTTAGTTTATTGATTGACTGATTGGCTGATTGACAGAATAGACATCAGCTAACAGCAGAAGGTTCCTCTTTGTTCTGCTTTGCCTTCTTAATGAGTCTATCTACATCATCTGGTTATGTAATGTAATGTAACGTTATGTAATGTAATGTAATGTAAAGTAATGTAATTGTGAAATGTCGATGTGATGTGACAACTGGTGAATGGAAGCCAATCCAGTCAGGAGTGAAAATAAAATGTTAACCAGCCAATCACAAGCAAGCAGTTCATCATCAATAACCAATTACAAACCAACCGACGGCAAACCACTACAAACCAACCAACCAATCAAACAACCAATAACGACCAGTCAAAAATAATCAACCAATCATTAGCCACCAATGGCAAACAACCAACCACAATCACCAACAACCAACCACAATCACCAACAACCAACCAATCACCAACAACCAATCATAATTAACCACCAACGACCGGCCAGCCAATCCTAACTGACCTGCTGTCATCTCAGTAGAAGGCTTACTGAGCTCCTTCTCATTGTCCTTCATGATGCCAACAAGCAGCCCCTTGACTTCTTCATCCTTCTTCTTCTCAAGGTCCACATTGTCGTCGTCGTCGTCGTCAGAATTCTCGCCATCCTCCTTATCGACGATGGTCTTGTAGCACTGCTGCTGTTGCTGCTGCTGCTTCAACTTTTTCTGTAGCTCCTTCTTCTGCTTGTAATCCTCTAGCAGGTTGTTGGTCTTGGCGTCTACTTTCACCTAAGTGTGTGTGAGTAATTGTATGTGTGTGTGTGTGTGTGTGTGTGTGTGTGTGTGTGTGAGTGAGTAACTGAATGTGTGTGCGTGTGTGTTGTGTGGATAAGTGAATGTGTGGGCTGTTTTTGTTTCAACAGAAAAGCAAACAAAGCTCACTCAAATAGAAAAAACTATGAATATAAACACACACACACACCTATAACAAACAAAAAAGCACAAACTAACACTCCTTCTCTCAATTACAAATAGACACACAAATACACACACGCACACGCACACACACACACACAATCAAAGCCAACAGTAGAACCTACCAGCAACTTCTTATCAATGATATTCCAATCGTTGAGTAGTCTCATACATCTTAGCGTAGATTCAGGATTGTCATACTCACAGAAACCAAAGGCTGGTAAATTTAAGGAGTTAGCATAAATTTTTTGCTTGTGTGTATGCGCTCGTGTGTGTGTGAGCGTGTGTGCGTGTGTGTAAGTGACTATGTCGTGTGCGTGTGAGTGCGTGAATGTGTAAGTTGCCTATGGGTACAAATCAAAAGCAATTAAACCAATGAAGACATAAACATCCAGACAACACAACATGAAAAAATCACACAGTGACACAAGTATCCACACACACACGCACGTACACACACACGCACACACACACACACCTTGTAACTTTCCAGATGCACCTTGAACTCTCTTCCAGCTGAGAACATTTCCACATTTCTGTTAGTGAGAAAAAAAATTATGCTTTTATCATCTTCCCAATATAACTCTTAAATATAATCATCATCATCCTCACACTATCATCATTATCACCATCATCATTATTTTCATAACTACTATCATCACCATCATCATTAATACTACTACTAACAATACTACTAATATCTTGACAACATGACGAATTTCATAACATCATTCATTATCATCATCACAATCCTGACCATCATCACAATCCTGACCATCATCATCATCACACCATCATCATCATCATTATCACCAGACCTGTAGCATAAGCTTGATCATGGCGTCTGGTGCTTTGTCATGTATGTTCCCAACGAAGACAGTCGTAACTGGAAGTTTTTCTTTCTGTGAAAAAATTAAGGAAATTATGCAAATTAGGCAGATAAGATATGGAGATTACCGAGAGAAAATGTGATGTAATATAAACAATACTTTTCAATCAAACACTCTGACAAAGTACTTTATGCAATAAAAAAAAGTGTTTTCATGGTAAATGTGTCTAGCACTTCTTGCTCTATGTAACACCAACTCAAGTAAAAATTTGCATATACTTTTAGAAGAGAACTAAAGAAGGAATTGTGAAATTAAATGAAAAAATTGTAAAATAGATGAGGCAGAGCAGACTGACGTTAATGGTCAGTTCGGGTCTGGCAGTGATAACAGCCGGTGTGGTGGGGGCAGGCCTCGGTAAGGACATGGGCATCGACAGGTTCGGTCTCATCACCTAATTATGAAAAATTATGGAAAATTATAAGAAAAGTTTTAAAAGGTTATAAAAAAAATTTATAGAATTTTATGGAAGATTTTGAAAAAAAAATGAAAAAATAATTATTGCAAAGTAAAAAATTAATTAAACTAACCGGCATGATACCCATTGGCATCATTCCTAATTTTAAAAAAAATTTAATAACTATATTAATTTAATTATTAGATATTTACTAATTCCTATGAATAAAAAATAAACAGTAGTTTGATCATGACAAAAAATTTACATAAAAGAAGCGAACTCAAATTCTTTATCTATGTGGTCTCAAATCACAGAAAACATTGCGTTACTCTTTAAAAAATGTTCATTAAAAAAAACTATATGGCAAAATCCTAGGACAGTGCCTACCATGCAATTGAAAACAGATTATAAATGCGGGAGATATGTATAAAAAAAGAGTGCACATAAACAACGACCAATGAGATTGTGAGCACAATGTCGAAACATAATGTAAGAAATACGGAAACTGTCAAATTTTATTATTTTAAATTATTTATATTAAAATAATAAAATGAAATAAATAATTTTTGTTAAAATAGTAAAAAAGGAAAAAAAAATCTTATTGGGCATTTATATCATCAAATAATTAAAAATTGAAATGAAATGGAATAATGAAAATACCAAATAATTAACAAATAAAATTTTGGCAGAATCCTAGGACAATGCTGATTTGTTATTAGTATATTTTTATCATTAATCTAGTAAAAATGCCGCAGCAACAATTTTTATTATTTTGAAGTGGTTATGATTTACGCATGCCATAGCTGTTCGAATATGCCCAAAATGAAACATCTTTTTTCGCGCGTCGTAGTTCCATTTTGAAAAAGATGATTTATTGTAAAATGAATCAGGCAATAATATTAAATCGTTTAAATTTTAACAAGCTATATCGTCTCACTAGAAATCGTAGAATAACTAGGCAGTGGTTAAGGTTTAATGGACTATTGTATCGGGAAATGTTATGCGAAAACTGCGGGGAAGAAATGTACGAGGTTATTCATTTAGTTAATAAAGTTGACCAAGTCATTTGGCGATGTCCAAAAAAAAATTATCAAATGAGGACAAGTATTCGAAAGGATTCATTTTTTAAAAATAGTAAATTAGGGATGTCAAAAATTATACAAATTCTTTATTGTTGGGCATGGAAAATGCCTGTATATTTGACAACAAGGGAGGTTGGCTTAAATAAAAATACTGTCGTGGACTGGTACAATTTTTGCCGGGACGTTTGTATAGACCGTTGTATTGATAATTTTGTACAGATTGGGGGTCCCAGAACAATTGTAGAAATAGATGAAACTAAAATTCTGAAGGCAAAATATTATAGGGGTAGAAACAACAGATATAAAGATGGATGGGTGTTTGGAGGAATACAGCGAGGGACAAGAATATGTTTTGCGGAGGAGGTACAGGCACGAGACTCACAAACTCTAATCCCTCTCATTCAAAAATGGATTGCTCCTGGGACAACAATAGTCTCTGATGAGTGGCGTGCGTACAGTCAGTTGAAAAACTTGGGTTATACTCACATCACAGTGAATCACAGTGTAAATTTTGTTGATCCAGTCACGGGTGCACACACAAAATATCGAATCGATGTGGGCCAGATTGAAGCGTACATTTAAATATATGTATGGGACATCCAAAGACTTAAAGGCTACATATTTAGCTGAATTTATGTGGAGAGAAAAATTCGGTAAGTTGCCTTTTGGAAATATCATTGTACATGTTAGACAGAAATGCAACATATACTAGGAACTATGATACCTTAATTTTTCTTTTTTCTTAATTTCAATTTTTATAATTATTTTTATTAGTACATTTGTTTGCTATTATTTAATGTAAAAAAATACAAATTTTGAGATGGTAAAAGAGAATAAAATGTATACAATCTTTTTGTCCAAAAATTTAATTTATATAAATACTAGTTTATACTGCCGCCTGCAATCGATTAATTGATATTTAATATTCGTGACATTAACACTTCGATAGCTCTGTATTTTCGTTCATTCATTAAGTTACAGCTGTGTTGCATTCCCTTTTCTAGTTATCTTATTGGTCGTTCACTTACAGCTGTGTTGAGTTCCCTTTTTTAGTTATCTCATTGGTCGTTGTTTATGTGCATTCTTTTTCATACATATCTCCCGCATTTATAATGTGTTTTCAATTACATTGTAGGAACTGTCCTAGGATTTTGCCAACTATATTAATTAAAAAATTAAAAGTTAGCAGTTAGATTATTAAAAAAATCCAAATTAGAAAAAATTAGTTAGGGACATAATTTTATTTTAAAAAGCTTTAAATAAATTTCCTCATTGGAATTTATTTGAAACATTCAATTTGAAAAACGTAGATAAAATTAAAATATCTTTTATTAATAAAAAAAATGTAAAACCGACCGATAGGTGGCGGGTACGGATTGAATGGAGGAACCATCATTCCGGGCAGTATTGGAGGTCTCGGCGGAAAAGACATTTTTGACGCAAAATTATTCGAAGAATTTTAACTTTTTATTCAAAACAATGCAACAAAATTAGCAATTTGACGATCAAAATTCAGTCTGACAAACAAATTATTCGCAATTCATAACGAAATTTGTTTTCATATGCACCCATTTGTTAAAAAAAAATGGCGATTAATAACCAAAGACAGTAAATCCATTAAATTGTATCGGTAATAATTTCCCCATTACAGAACAGACACGTCTTTCAATCAATAAATTAGTTTATAAAGCGCTATTTCCGCGATGTTCATCAGCGCTCCTCAATGAATTTTGCAAACAGATGAGTCTTGAGACCTGCTCTGAACTCCGTAAGTGATGGAGAAGTCGTCAGAGAAAGGGGTAGAGTTCCATGGAAAAGGGCCAGAAAAAGCAACAGAAGATTTAGCAAAAGAGTTAAGAAGAAGTGAGAACAAGACGATCGTAAACCGGCGTGTTTAGGTTCAATTAATACATCTGATAAGTGCTTAGGATATAATTTAGATTGAAACTTATACATAAATGTGTAAATTTTAAAAATTAATCTATTTTATAGATAGCCTGTGCAAGAGAACAAGAAATGGTGATATATGAGAAAAGAAAGAAGCACAAGCAACTAGACGAGCAGCAGAGTTGAAACTTTTACTTAGAGGATAGAGTCAGGAAGACCATAGTAGAGCCAGTTACAATAATCAATCCTAGATAAGACTAACGAAGTAACAAGAAAGAGGAGAGTAGGATCGTCAAGAAAAGGCAAAAGTTTTTTTATTCTACGTAGATGAAAGTAAGAACTTCTAGTAACACTATTAATCTGAGAAGAAAGAGACATGCTAGAATCAAAGATAAAGCCTAGACTACGAAACTTGTGAGAAACATCAAGAGTTTTAGAATCTGGTAAGATAATAGGAGGGATAGTAATAAAGTGTTTAGATTTATTTCTAAACGGAATTAGTAAAAAACAAAAATAAAACGAATTAATCCCGCTAAATACAGAAAATAAAACCGAATATACTGAAAAATAACTTAACTTTTTCACATTTCGATAAAAATGGCTTAAAATTTACCAACAAAATGGACACCGTAACTCTTACTATTATTGCTTGATATACAACCAGGGATATACCATTATCCATGTATACAACTGACAACCAATTTTTAAAAAAAGTGAATTTCTAAAAATTATTTATATATATATACATATATATATAAATATATATATATACATATATATATATATATACATATATATATATACATATATATGCATATATATATGCGTGTAAATGAATAATTAAAATAATATCCTCAGAATTATTTTAAAGAAATTAAAAAATCATTTATAAATAAATAAAGCAACACCAGAAAATAAATCATAAATCCATCTATGCTATGCAATATGTATGCTATATGATTCAAAAATTCAGAGCGTTATGCATCAATAACACACACGGCGTGTGTGTCTTTGTATGTGTGTTTGTATGTGCGTGTATGTTTGTATATGTGTCTGTGTGTGTCTGAGTGTGATTATTTTCAAAATTAAATACAATTTTTTGAAAAAAATATATACATGTATTATAAATATCACAGTAACTATGTTTAATTCAATTGTGGAGATTAATAACAATTAGTGAAAACTATTGAAACACATATATACACACACATACTACAAACACACACACACGAATATATATATATATATATTATATATATATATATATATATATATATAGAGAGAGAGAGAGAGAGAGAGAGAAAGAATTTTATTTAAATCGATTAATGCAATTACATTATTAAATTTTTTCCTAATTCTTTCAAGAGTTCTTATTAACTTCTTAAACGTTAATAAGAAATCTTGCAAAATTAAAAAAAAAAAAAAACTGTATAACGTAATCGAAGCGATAAATTCCAATGTCTACAAAAACCACTGTTAAACTTTACTAACATACACATATACAATTTTAGACACACACATACCAACATTATATAAACGATACATACAAAAACACATACACGCTCACAAATATACACGCACATACATGTGAAATACGATCAAGTAAAAGATATTATAATTATTTAAACATCCCTTTGTGAATCATCAAATAATAATTATGACAAGATTTAAAAAAAAGAAGCAAGAAATAAATAAAAAATTGAAATATAATTCTATTTGTGAACGTGTGTGATTTTAATTTCATCAAATAATAATTATGACAAGATTTTAAAAAAAAACAATAAATAAATAAAAAATTAAAATATAATTCTATTTGTGAATGTGTGTGATTTTAATTTCTGTAAAATTTATCAAAACTTGTTAAGCACAGAAAAACGGCCTGAAAGACAAAGAGACAATCAGAAACAAACAGACTGGCACACAAATACAGACAGATACATAACTTTTCACATTGTAAAAATAAAATTACTCTTCAATATATGCCTATCAAAGAACTTCTGAACACATGTTAAATCATAGAACTTCAAGTATAGAACCAAAATTTTAGGCAAAGACAGTTGTTCCAGATATGGTAAAACTGACCTACCACCATTATGCTCAGAAATGGACTGCCTAATAACTATTCTACAATGTTCTTTCAAAGTTAGCCCCTCCCTCTTTTTACATGACAGCCAGTCTTTGCACTTCTTTAAATCGTTGAGATGTACAGACTCTTCAAATATTGTTATTCGGCATAGGATATCTGCTCTGATTTGATACTTCTTGCGATAGATTTGAAATCCTGATAGAAATAAAAGTTTTAAAATGTCTAAATTTTTAATTTGGAGGGCTTGTAGGATAATTTTTGATTTTACGTTGTGATTTTTTCTTCCAGCGTCACCACATTTTATCAGCAGAACCATGCCTTGTCTGTAGAAGTCATTTAATTTCAATGCATTTAAAAGTGGATTTTGATCAGGAATTTCGAAATCATTCAAAATGGTTTCATTCATAGATGTTATCACGTTAAACCTCGGCCAATCTTGTGTTTTTATAGTTTTCAGGAGAATGTTGATGCCGTGCTCTGGTTTGTAGTTCACATCAGTCCCAAATGAAATTAACAAATCAGTGACAAAATTATCTTGTAAGAGTTGAGCATCCACTAAACATTCAGCTAATTTCATGGGAGTTAGTTGTGATTTTATCTTCTCTAAAGCCAGCTCTTTTGTTTCTTCACTGAATGTTGAGCTGATCCTTTCAGAGTAGTGGCACAAATCATTAGAGGAAACAGTTTGGACCATTCCAGTATCAACATTTCTGTTCATTTCATTTATTGAATTGACATCTAGCTGAAAAATAGACAACAGCTTGATTAAAAAGTTGTAAAAATTTGTTATATCGTCCTTTCTTAGTACACGATTTCTCTTGATTGTGAAGTTAACACTGGCCCCCTCAAGCACCAAATAAAAGGCAAGTTGACAGTGATCGTTGATTGTAGCATAGTACAAAGGGGTGTGCCCTTTATCTGTCCCCCTGTTCACATCAGCCCCTCTTTGGATGAATTTCTTTGCGAAGTAGTAGTTGCCATCAATGCAGGCATAGTGCAAAGCTGTGAATTTTTCATAATTCGAGGAGCGTATTTCAACGAAGCTACCAGCATCCAATAGCAACTCGACGATGTCGTAATGTTTCAATCTCATGGCATATGTGATAGGAAGTTCTTCTGTTCTGTTACGTCTGGACGGAAAGTTAACATCAACATTCATGTTTATCAGAAGCTCCACTATTCCGAGACTGTTTTTGTAGATTGCAATATCCAGTGCAAGTTGTTTGTCACTAAAATTAGGAGCGCAATTGAAAAAACTCAACTTACGAACAATAGAATCGACCTTTTGCGGATTGTTGCTGTAAACGTAGCTGATGAAGTCTGATTTCATCTTACTCATGGACTTGCGATAGCAGAGCATGAACAGAATTCGCTTGAAAAATGGCGTGTCGTTGTGGGGATCCATGAACATGACGTTGCTGATGCCGAAACTCTTCATTATTAGTGACAATAATAAAATTATGAAGAGGGTCAGAAATATTGGAAAAATCATTTAAAATACTCAACAATGCTTTAATTTAAAATGATAACATTAATCGAAAATGTTGAAACTTTGAAAATTTAGCTTCTTTCGAAATGTTTTCAACATCTCTCATTCGCCCAAATTAGCAACTTAAAAAGATTTAACGTAATTTCAAGAATTAAAGGTAAGCAGATTTTTTTGAAATTAGTTTGATGCTCAATAGATGATGTTATTCATTTAAGAGATAAGGTTTCCAGAAGGTCGATTTTGGATTATCTTTATTTAATCTAAAATTAATATAAATAATTAATTTTTTAAAACTTTAGAATAAAGACATCATTATAGTACCTGAATTTAACATCGAATAAAAAGCATACGCAATCAACATTCAACCATGGCTATAATGTATGGTGGATATCTATGTACTCAACTCATTTGTCACTTGATCAATTACTATCTTCTAACATTCAGAGAAATCAAGAGCACACGAACAAACATACATGGTCAGGTCAATCCAGTAAAAAGCCGGATTAGGTCCTTTAATCACATTAGTCCATCAGCCAGGACGAGTTTCGGTATGAAATATTAAAAATGTAAAACGTCGTTTTCGTTCGTTCATACAAAAAAACACGAAACAGCATTGATTTTTTTTTCAAAATTCAACTTAGTTGCAAGCCCCGTAAAACTGTAATATATAGAAACATAGGACATTTCATACAACGAGCGAGAAAGAGGAGAAAGAGGTGGAAAGAGAGGGATAGAACAAAAAAAATAGGAAACGAACGAGAATGTCACCAATACAGACAAACAAATTACAAACAAACTTCATACAAACATCCATAAAAAACAACAAGGGAAAAATTCAAAAAAAAGTAAAAACAAAACATCAAAAATGTCTTTTTTTAATTTGTATCTCAGCTTTTAAACCCGTTAAAAGCCTCCAAGAAATTCTTTATCTGACCTTGTTCGAACGCAAAGATCACGTCAGGGACGTGAGTACCCATTCTATGTCTTACCATCATTTTATACGGCCAATGACTTAAAAATTTTGGTGTTTTTAACATTTTTTTTATCTAAAAATAAATGTATATATTAAAGGTTTATGTCAAAATATAATTTTTTAGAAGTAAAATTTATTTTAATTTTAGCATATTTGTAATTTGTAATAAGAAATTCGGTATGAGTTATAATTAAAAATCATTCGATAGTGGTAAACAGAAATAAAAGTAGGCCCCGTGCAGTTTGAACTGCTACGACCGACAAGCAATTATAAAGAACTCTAAAAATAAAGAAACGAAGCAAATGAAAATTAATACAAATAGGCAAAACCATGAAAACAAACAACACACAAAACACAAAAAAATACATTTTTATTATTTTTCCTGTACTGGCTTTTGTTAAGCCATCCACAAAGACAACTTTATTTTCATAATCTGCAATCTTTAGCATTGCCGCATTATAGTTATAGGATATCTTGCCGTTCGTTATTTGGAATCATAAACGAAAAACTAAACAAAAACTGTGGTGTGAAGAAAATTTAATTAAATTTTAATTAGTTTTAATTGAATTAAGTGCATTAAATTGAATATTTAATTATTAGCAAGTAATAAAGATAGTTTTAAATTGATCGTATTTGCAGCAGAGTAAATCTTTCTTTTATAAATTTTATGTATTTAAAATATATTCGCTGGAGTACTTCATTGTTTTTGAACTATACTCAATGTTATATCTACACTTTAACTTAACCATAGTTATTATTATTAAAAATTTAAGTCTATAATTTTAATATAAGTTTCATTTTATTAAACTTAACAAAAAATTCTCAAATGGCCGAAAATTGTATTGACATTTCTTTTTAAATCAATATATTATATAATTTTAAATGATATAGTTTAGGGACATAATACCCATCTTGAATGTTGGGGACAAAAATCCCCCTTTGAATTAAAATTTTTAGTTGATTTAGAATTTTCTATATACAATAAAAAGGTAAAGTTACTGGCAACAAATAGTCTTTATTAAATGATAGCCATGGAATAAAAATAGTTTGAGCCAATTTTTTGAAATAAAATCACTCCGACCCCAACTTAGAGCGGGGGCAATTACCACCCCCCACCTACTTTAGGTCCCCGTGATCTCTGTAATAAGTGGTGGGTTTGATTGCGTTTGCAAAAATTGGGAATTTAAAAGATAAATGTCTTTTTGTTTCCAATGTTTTGTTAAGAAGGATTTGCAGGAACAAAATTTTAGGAGAAATGAAAAATGAAAATAAAAGTAATAACGGTAATAATAAAAATATTATAATTGATTATCATAATATAAATTATAATATAAATAATGTAAGTATTAGTAATTTCAGCCTCGCATGTCAGTGACAATTTCAAATTTGATACTTCATTGGCTACCATCGACCTCCACAAAACCAGATCGATACAAATAAAACATAAATAAAAAGATGATAAAAATAGATGGGTAGTTACATACATCAAATTTCGTTAAACCATTAAAATGCAATAACAAAACAGTAAAGCAACCGACCGGCAAATTGACCAGCCAACCGACCGACCAATTGACCAGCCAACCGACCAACTAGCCAGCCAACCAACCAACCAACCAGCCAGCCAATCGACCGACCAACTCGAAACTTTTCATGAAAAATCAAAAATGCATAGTAAAATACCTACAGATCACATGTTTTAATATTAAAATATAGGAATATATAAATGATAGTATATAAAAAAGTGCATAGAAAGACAGAGAGAGAGAGAGAGAGAGAGAGAGGGAGGGAGTACGAGATCATAGAGCCGTCATTTGGTTGACTGAATCAATCACTGAAACAAAACCAACATTCTCACACAAAACATGACTGGGAAACAATAGTTAAGGCTTTCAGTAAGGCCTTTTAGTGTGTGAGCCTCAATGTAAAATGATGCAAAAATAACAATATTATAAACAACATAAATACATGCACTTCAAATACACACAGACAAACACAAACACACACACACACACTTACATCTATACAAACACACACACATACAGACACACAAATATAAAAATTATAATATTATAATGAAATTGTTAATTAGGTAGGGAATAATATTCATAAAAAAAATTTATCTTACACAATAAAATAAATTATATCTGGAACGTAAGGAGACATGCACAGAAAACAGATAACAATATATATGGATATCTATGTCCACATGTGGGTAGTTTACAAAAAAAAAAAAAACATACAACATATTCCTAAATTTTTTACAGGGGCCAAACAAGTTGCCAAATTAGGATCTACTTAATTTTCATCAAACAAAAACACTAACCAAATTAATTAAAATTGAAAATATTTTATTATATCTTAACTAGAAATAAAACGGTTTTATTGCGAAAAAAATTAAATTAAAGAAGAACACAAGAAACATGCGGAATCGATTATAGCAAATAACGCGTTGCTCTTATGCTATCAGCTGACACTCCTCACACATGTACACTTACACACACACACACTTACAAACACACACACACGCAGTTAACATGTGTAAAAGAAAAAGAATCTCAGTTAACATGTGTAAAATTTCACGTGTAAAATTTTTCCTACCACATAAAAAGTTTAAAAACGCATACATTTAAATATGATTGATTGATAAATGCGAAACATACATACATACATATTTACATACATTGCATATAAAGGACTTCCATACTATTATTAATTATAAATGCTTTTAACGTTAAATGATAGAATTATAATTAATTACACACACACACACACACACACACACACACACACACATATATATATTTTGGGTTTAGACTATCATAAATACAATTATTTATAAAGAACACTGCGTTTTCGGCATCATTCAACTTGTAGTTGAGTTTCTCAATTTTTCTAACGAGACTTTTATCATCTTGATGAAGTTTATTAAAGTTAAATAAAAAACTTCATGTCAAATATTAAAAGTTTTTTTTATTTAACCTTAATAAACTTCATCAAAATAATAAAAGTCTCGTTAGAAAAACTGAAAAACTCAACTACAAGTAGAATGACGCCGATATATATATATAGAGGGAGAGAGAGAGATATTTATTCACTGTTAAACTTTGAAAATTTTACTTAAGTTTTTTGAAAATTTTACTTAAGTTTTTTCTTATTAATAGAGTAGTAGACTTCTATGTTTACACAACTATGACAGCGCCTTTTAGAACATTTAATTGGCGCTATATAAGTTTCCTATCGATTGACTGATTGATTGAGTGATATTATATACATATAATCAATATAAAAACATGTTAGTATTACAAGACGAGCGGAGAAAAAATCAAAGCGATAATCTCAACTAGTTAAAAACATGTGAGACAACACTCAAATTATTCAAGTCATGAATTAAATATGTCATGTATAATTATATATATATATAAATATATATATATATATAGAAAGAGAGAGAGAGAGAGAGAGAGAGAGAATATAAAAGGATTATTGAACTGAATTGTTGAATTAAAGGGAGAGAGAGAGAGAGTGAGAGAATATGAAAGAGAGAGAGAGAGAGAGAGAATATGAAAGAGAGAGAGAGAAGAACACCAGTAAATTAATTAAACATATTTCCTAAATAGAAAATGATATAGTTAATGACGAAAGGTTCGTTTTGATTACAACAACGACGACGACGATGATGATGATAGAAAAATGATATATGATACTGATGATAATAATACAAGGTATGAAGATACAAGAGATTGTGATAAAACAGATGATAGATGAAACAATACAGTGATGATAGAAATTCCAATGGTAATTCCAACGTAATAAAAATAAGGTAAATTACAATAGAAATGATACTACAACTGGTAGTGACAGATAGAAATATTTCTCAACCTATTTTCAACCAAAAGTCAAATTGGAAAAAAAAGAAGAAAAATGATTGACTTGAATGAACGAATGAATGAATAAATAAATTAAAGACTAATTAGTTAATTAATCACTCATTCATTCATCCAATCATTCTTCCAAAACAAAACTAACTACACTTTAACAAAACACATATATACTATAAATGTATACACACACACACACACACACACACACACACACATATATATATATATATATATATATAAACGTGGACAATAAAAATACTGAATGAATGAATGAACGAACAAACAAATTAATGAATCAATATCTTATTTATTCATTCATTTATTCATTCACTCATTCATTCAAAATAAAAAAAATTAGGACTGAGACTTCCTACCAAACAATGGCATATCTGGAAAGGACAGTGGCTTTGAACATTTTTTACACAAAAATAACACCAATAAGGTCGCTATAGAAGCCGGGAATATGGCCAGGAATACAACAATTAATACTAATTTTTGATCAGTCCACTGGCCTTTTGGGAGTTTAGTGATCGGAATGTCTGGAAGAAAGATGATCCGATGTTCAATGATGGAGCCAATTGATAGATAATTCACACATTCATTCCTTCATCTAATGATTCATTCATTCGCTCATTCACTTACTTATTCATTTATTCACTCATTCAATCATTCTTACGTCCAAGCGTAAATGGTGAAATTAAATTACATTCTTTCAACCATTAAATCAATCATTTATCAAATCGCCCAACTAACTGACTAACCATTCCATCTTCCATCCATTCCATCAATTCATTCATTCGTTCCATCAATTCATTCGCCCGTCCATCCATTCATTCAATCACCTGTGATATTAAATTCATCCCAGATATGCACCGACCCTTTACTACTGGGAACGGTGAAACTGCACTTGTACACGCCAAAACTCTCCTTGTCTGCTTCCAAATTAGTTCAATATTATTCTATTATCCAAAAATTAAAACATAAAAATCACAAAATTACAGATTTAAAAATCATGGATCTTTCTACAAAAAAGATAGACAAGCAGGCAGATAGACAAGCAAACAGACAGACTAACCTAATTTAGTTAAATTCATAGACATAGTAATGCCGTCGAATTTAAATTGATGTGAACCCTTCACTTTAGTTTGGTTACCGTTAGGAACCATTTTAAAAATCAAGGAATCATTAAGGAACCATGAAGCAACTATTGAGGAAGGCGGGTTTGCACCGAAACCATCTAAATCACAAATTAGCAACATTGAACTATTGTCCTGAGGGTAGACTATATCTCGCTTGGTACCTTTGGAATTAATATTTTATTAACTATGGCACCTTAACATATTTACATTTTTGGTACCTTATAAATTATGATACCTTTAAAAGGTATATTTTGTAAGTTTTGTACCTTTAACATGAACATTTAAATTTTTTTTTTATGCTTATTATAGACATATTTATAAAACTAATTAACCAACCAATCAATCAATCAACCAATTAGCCTAAAAACCAACCAACAAGCCAAACAACCAACCAACCAATCAATCACCCAAGTTAAAAAATAAGTTCACTTTTCAGCACAGTTACAGAAATGACATAAGTTTGTTTCTTATCGTCCGTTGAACATTCATACTGGCCGGTGTCAGTCAAAACTAAATTCTTCTTTGTCAATCTTTTCGACAGGAGGTTTGTATTTTCCTCTCTGTGTATATATGTGTGTATTATGTATGTATGTGGAATGGATGTGTGTGTGAGTATGTAAACATATGTGTATGCGTGGATGTGTGTGTGTGTTTCAGGCTAACGTACAAAAAAAAAAGTTTTATAAATAAAAATTGAGAAAACAAAGACTTGAAAAAATATACAAAAATATACAACTACACCAAACAAAGAAAACTGAACACAAAATAAAAATAAAAAAACAAACATGCAGGTGGTGATAAGAACTCTCTCCTCATTGGCTGACAGCAAAATTCGGCCACCAGTTCTCAGCCAATAGAATGAGAAGTGATCATTAGCCGAGCCCGAACACGGGAAAACAAGGTCAGTGCCCTCGGCGTAATAAGGATAGTGGTCACCGTTGGTAGGTTGTGGGCTTGAGGTAGCCACTGGTTAAGAAAAGTTATCAGAGATAAAGGTCATCTAAAATAACAATAAATAAATACTAATAATTAATAAATAAATAAATATTAAAGAATCCAATAACAATTCCATGGAATATTACACAACAAAATAATACAGTAATAAATAATAATAATAAATAAATAAACAATTCCAAAGATAAAAAAATTAATAATAAAAAAATAATAATAAATAATAATAATAAATAAATAAATAAATGTTAACCAGTTCCAAAAAATATTACACAACAAAGTGTAATATAGGCCGACAATCGATTAGTAGTTGAATGATGAAACGTTTTCATTCTTTGATTTGAGATCTGGGCTATGGGAGATAAAATTAATCAAAAAAATAACTCAATTATTATTTATTTATTTTTATTATATTTTTTTTTTATTATGGACATCGTAATTGGTGACATGCACATGGGGGTCTACATGCATTTGAAACCGATGACTGCAAGCAATATCAAAACATCAACAGGTACCTGCTACATTTCCTATATTTTTAAAAAATTACAGTTATAATTACATTGATTACAGATTACACACTATTATTACAGCATCTCTAGCTTCTAGCACTGGCTGGCTATGGTAACCAGAACTAATAATCACTAATAGTCACTAATTAGTCTACTCTAGTGAGAAATAAAAAGTAAATTAATTTTCTATTAGTTAAAAAAATTTATAAATTTTAAAATTTAAAAAATCGGAAAATAAAAAATTATTTTGTATTTTCTGATTTTCGTAATTTAATTTAAAACAAAACCCTTCAATAATTGAATTGAAGTAACTCCGGCTTCTTCAACTGCGAACGATAACAAAAAAAACACAAATCGCGATAGAAGAAATAAAATAAAATTCCATTTCTTGAATAAAAACTTGAAAATGTTTAGAAAATAAAAATTTTAGACCACAACTTTACTCACTTTTGTCTACTTTTCTGCTACCCAAGGTATTTGGATGAGACAAGTAGTATTCGTCAAGTGTTTTAAATCAAATATTTAATAAAAGTATTTGATATTCTCAGATCCGGCATTACCTAATTTGAAAATATTCGATAATGTTTTATAATTTCAACAAAAATTGTAGACCATAGATTGAACTTTGCTTATCAATTTGCTTATTTGTTATAAATCTTTCCTCATTATGTGTATATAATTGACATATTGGTACAACGCTTTAAAATTCTAATATATTTATCATTTCCAAAGATTAAACTCCGTGTGGTGATCTACTACTCTTCAAAAATTTATGAATGTTTTAATGACATTCCAAAAAACCATTTATTTGATACATACGGGCAGGGCAGGATTTCAAAGCGGTTGTTAGTGACGTTTGACTTATCTATTCTACATTTTTAACAATGTATTTTACCAAAACCAGTTCGTAGTAGTAGTAGTAGTAGTAGTAGTAGTAGTAGTAGTAGAAGAAGAAAAAGAAGAAGAAGTAGCAGCAGTACTACTACAGTAGAAGTAGCAACAGCAGCAGTAGTAGTAGCATCAATAATACTGTTCTGGAGGTTATCCAGAGAGCGTGCTGTCAGACAGGCTAGTACAGCTGATTTGTTGATTGATTGTTGTTCATCCAACAATCAATGCCTGCTTTAAATTTGTTCATTGATTGTGCCTCAACAAGTTCATTTGGTAATGGGTTCCAAGTATTTGCGACTCTATTGAATAAGTAATTCTCTCTGTCTCTATATCTTGTTAATTCTTTAAAATATTTCAAACTGTAACTTCACGTTTTGGTTTTTACTGTGCTATAACGATTATGTAAATCAACTTTGTTCAAATTATGCATGATTTTAAACAACTAGGCCAAATCTCCACTTTTTCTTCTTTCCATCAAGGATGTTAATCCTAATTTTTTAAGACGATCTTCTTAAGCTAGGTCTCTTATAAATGTAACCAACTTTGTTGCTTTGTGCTGGACTCTTTCGATCACCTCGCTATCACCTTTTAGATCTGGGGATCAAACTGATACTGCAAACTCCAACAGTGGACGAATAAAAATTAGGTATAAATTACGAAGCAGCTTATAATCAAATTTCCCAAAAGATTTTTTATTTGACCAAGCATTTGGTTTGCTTTGTTTGATGCTGTGATGACTTTAATTTTCCATTGTAAGTTATTTGAAAAAATCGCTCCAAGATCCCTCGGATTCAGCAAAAAGTATCCCATTTACATTCAGTGGACATTTTTATTACCCGATCCGTAAAGTGCATAGCAGTACATTTTTGAATATTGAACCGTAAAAGCCAGCCACATTCAAATCAGACTGAAGTTCGACTACATCCTAATCTGACGATATTGTAAAATGGCGAACGATGAATGTTTTATTTTTTATTCGAAGGAAGTTTGCCCCATGGAATTATATAACTAATATAATAATAACTAATTATATAATTCAATGGTTTGCCTTTAGGTCTGGATCATGCATCCGAGAAGCTGTACCCATGGAATTATATAACTCAATTATATATTATTATATATATTATATATATTATTATATATTATTATAATAATTATATAATTCAATGGCTGTACCTGACAAAATTTAGCTGCATTGAAAGCAAAGTATATAATTACCGCAACAGAAAATTTTCATACTTAATTGAATGATATCTTTAGACGAAATTATTACGAAAAATTATAATTTAATCAATTATTGATTGAAACGACAACAAGATTATACTTTGATTCATTTATTGTAACCAGTTTAAAAATGATAGGTTATATCAAATCATCATTTCACATCTTATTTTCAATTCATGATTTAACTCAACATTAAGAATAATTTATAATAAATCAATCATAATGCATAAAACCATGTCTCGTCAAAGTAGTAGATGATACATATATATAATTCTTTTTTTAGGTAGCTTTTTTAGGTAGGTTGTCTGTCTGTCCTCTTAAGTCATTTTTAGAACCGCAAAAATGCCTAGGAACAAAGGTAACAAATGAATCACGATAAAACGAGACTCTATAGTCTTCTTACTCAATAATTCGTCATTAATGGATTAAGTAGGTACCTTGAATCTTGATACCTACATCCAATAAGCTTTATCTTTTTTCTTTTCGGTATATTTTTCTATTTTTTTCTTTTCGGTATATTTTTCTATTTTTTTGGTTTTTTAATATTTTTAAATATGCTTAGGCATATCAAATCTGTCCTCTGAGTGAAACAACGTGAACGCAATGAAGCAAATTAGGCTCAGATTAAAGAACTGTTTTTTACTATTCTAGTTTGTCTTTTTGCCTTGTTACGCGATGATCGAGTATATCAGAAACCAGATCTTCGTAAAATAGCTCGTAACATTATTGGGAAACAAAAAGATAATTCGTAAATTATCTCATCCAGTTTCTAGTTTTCGGAAGTTTTTTTTGCTTTTTAAACTTTTTCAACATTTCTCTAAAATTTATCTTTTACAGTAGTTCAAAATTTTGAACAATGTTAAATACGAATAAGACAAATTAAAAAAACTCAACCTTTCTTAAGAATTAGTAGCTAAAGTAGGAAACTAACTAATCTTAATAATTGGAAAGGCAGCGGCATGGGCATATAGTCATAACTTAACCGTACAAATCGCAAAATGTTGCACGGCAATTAGATTTTCCACACAGAGAGTTGCTATTAGATTTTCCACACAGTTAACTTAACCGTACAAATCGCAAAATGTTGCACGGCAATTAGATTTTCCACACAGAGAGTTGCTATTAGATTTTCCACACAGAGAGTTGCTATTAGATTTTCCACACAGAGAGTTGCTATTAGATTTTCCACACAGAGAGTTGCTTAACATGCATGTAACATTCTTATATAAATAATAAACAACGTTTTATAGATCATCCTGAACTGTCTTAATTGGTTTAACTTAAAAAAACTTGATAATAATAATATACTAATATCGTAAAAGTTAGTAACGCTAGGCATCTAGTTTAAACCGTAATAGTCGTAGTCGTAGTAACAGGTCGTAAAATGTAAAATTTTATAAAGGTAATAAATAAATAATAATAAATTAGAAAGATGGTTGGTAGGAGAAAAACGAGTACACGAAGGACTAGTTGAGATACTATATTGAGCTTGAGCGAAATCTGTGAGTGAGTGATTGATTGAAAAGAATGAATTAAAGAGTAATTAATGAATGAAAGAATGTATAAGAAAATTATAAAAATAATAAAATTAAAATAATAGTTATTATCCAATGAATAATTTAATGAACATTTGTAATAAAAAAAATACCGGTCGCATTTATCACAAAACCGCTCATTTTTTCATTCGTTCATTCATTCGTTCGTTCATTCATTCATTCATTCATTCATTCATTCATTCACTCACTCACTCACTCACTCACTCACTCACTCACTCACTCACTCATTCATTCACTCACTCACTCACTCACTCACTCACTCACTCATTCATTCATTCATTCATTCATTCATTCATTCATTCATTCATTCATTCATTCATTCATTCATTCATTCATTCATTCATTCATACATTCAACTAACCGTTATCATAGCTGTCAGCAGATATGACGAAGGAGCCTTTATTAGTGGGCAGATGGAATGCACAAGTGTATGGTCCAAAATCATTGACGTCTGATGATGTAGTTCTAGTATTATTATGCTAACAATATAACAATAATAATGTTTACACTACTTCTACTACTATTACTACAACAACAACAAAACAACAACAACAACTACTACTACTACTACTACTAATTCTTCTACTTCTACTTCTACTACTACTACCACAACAAATTGAACAAAAATTACAAACCTGGATTAGACAGAGACAGTGTACTCTGAACGTCAGTCAATTTAAATTGATATCTCAAACCATCCTTGAGACCATTTGAAGTATCAGCGGTAGCGAGATTCGACGTATGTTGAAGATTCAGTTTTTTTAGTCGGGTGCCCCGATAGAACCATTCTACTTGAAGGCTGGGTGGGTTCTCGTTGAAACCCAGTAAGGTGCAAATTAGAACCATTTTTGAGGGTTCCATTTTACGCCGAACCTTAACTGAAAATGTGTACGTGTTGTGTGATTGAAATGGAATATTGTATCTAAATTCATAATAATTTAATCCTTAAGTAAGTTATAAAATATTATTTGATAATAAAACTGATGGAAAAATTATTAAATTATTTTTTAATATAAAATCATTTCGAAAAACTATTTAAATATCAGATCATTTTGAAAAAGTATTTGTGATTATCGATAATAAATGATTGGTTGGCTCATGTATTCATTTGACAAAATATTCAGAAACAAACAATACAAACAAGCGTACTACTATTCTATGAAGCGTTACTCGAAATATTATTGAAGTAGCAAATTTTTTGTAAACATGAGAAAATATTACACAGAAAATTTGATACTAAAATAAAATACTATAGTCACAAAAATAAAACCAAAACTTCAGAATTTTAAAATAAAATCAAATGAAATTACTTTTCAAGATTTTCAGAACAAACGACTTTTCATGCTTCAAATCGTCGGCACAGTGGTAGAGTCCAGAGTCATTCATAGTTACATTCTGAATTTTCAGCAAAGCACGCTTTCTATGGTTATTTCATAAAAATTTTCAAATTAATTTTGTTATTATTATTTTCAAAATTCTTATTGTTAATTATTTTCATAAGGATTATGCGAAAGTAATTCATTCAGTCAATTAAACAATCAGTCAATTAGTTCGTAAAGCACTATTTCAGCGATGTTCAACAGCGCTCTTTGGTGAATTTTGCAAACAGATGGGTCTTGAGATCCGCTCTGAACTTTGTAAATGATGGAGAAGTAGTTAGAGAAGGAGGTAGAGAGTTCCAGAGAAAAGGGCCAAAAAAAGCATAGGCAGATTTAACAAAAGAGTGTTTAATACGAGTTAAGAAGAAGTGAGAACAAAAAGACGATCGTAAGCCAGGGCGTTTAGATTCAATTAATATATCTGATAAGTACCAATACTAACAAATGTGCAGTCATACACATGGGTGCGAACAACAAGGCAAACGTATACAAACTTGGAAACACACCATTAAAAAATGTAGAGGAGGAAAAGGATCTAGGGGTGATGATTCATCAAAATAGTAAGGAAGCACGGCAATGTATCGAGGCAACTAAAAGTGCAAAGAAAACTCTGGGTATGATAAAAAGAAGAGTAAAAAGCAGAGATATGATCGTCATGTTGGACCTATATAAAGCATTTGTTCCACCTAAGTTGGAGTACTGTGTTCAGCTTTGGAATCCAGATTTACAAAATGACAACATATGCTCGAGAATATTTAAAGAAGGGCAACGAGAATGATGAAGGAGTGTCGCGGTATGCCATATGAAGACAAATTAAAAACTTGTTGATTGACAACATTAGAAAAAAGAAAAACAAGAGAAGATTTGATTCAATCAAGAAAAGATAAAAGTTCTCCAAATAAAAGTAAGAGCTTCTAGCAACACTATTAATATAAAAAGAAAGAGACATACTAGAATCAAAGATAAAGCCTAGACTACAAAAATTGTGAGAAACATCAAGAGTTTTAGAATCAGGTAAAATAAAAGGAATGGTAATAGAATTGAGTCTTCAAACCCAACGCACACTCTTTCGGCTACACCAATAACTATAATTACTAAATAGGGGTATTAATAATGATTGAATAGTAACAAAAATTTTGTACCGGAAGTTTTTTAAGACATAGACACCATTCTTATTTTCAATCTTCTCATATTTGCCAGATCCCAAATTTCTATAAAAGCGTAGATGAGCTGAACCATTAGAGTCATGATGAGTACTACAGTAGATCACAATTTCGCTACCATATTCGCCGTAAAATGGGTAGAAGTCATTTTCAAGTGACACACCTGGAAATCAGTAATTTATTATACTTATATAATATATATATATATATATATCTTTCTCTCTCTCTCTCTCTCTCTCTCTCTCTCTCTCTCTCTCTCTCTCTTTCTCTCTCTCTCTCTCTATATATATATAGATATATAAATATATATCTTTCTTTCTCTTTCTCTCTCTCTCTCTATATATATAGATCGATAAATATATTTATAACAGTAATTTATTGTGCTTAAATATATATCTATACATTTATTTTCATATCAAAATATATACGTCGATATTAACGTACATTTAACAAGCAGCAGAGTTATAATATTTACACTTGCCATTCATCCACAATCAATTAATTCAAGCTGAAAAGGCACAGATAAATACTAAAACACACACAAACACACACACACACAAACACGTACATAACCTAGGATAGTTTAATAATCATTTAAAGTGAAGTGAATATTTGAACGAAATATTTAAACATACTGGCGATTCTATTATCTATTAATCATGAAATAAATGACCACCTAAACTCGAACAAATGAATGAACGAACGAACGAATGAACGAATGAATGAACGAATGAACGAACGAATGAACGAACTAACAAACGAGTGGGTGAGTGAGTGAGACAGTGAGTAAGTGAGTGAGTGAGAGAGTGAGTGAGTGAGTGAATTAATAAAAAATATCATAAAAAGTATAATAGGTTTACCTTTATTAGCAAGCATGATATTATTACTGGTATAACCCAAAATGAGAATCAGGAAGAGAGCGAGATCAAAAGACGAACTCAAGAGATTCCACATTATTAAAATTTTCAATTTCGAACGAATATACCCGGATTCGAAAAATGCAATTAAATTAATTAATTAATTAATTTATTAGTTAAATTTATAACTTATTGATAATTTCGATATTAATTTTGCTTAACTTTGAATTTATCTTACTAAACACCACCTCACTACCCAGACCTCTCAGTAAAACGCTTATAACACTCACTCAAATTTCTATATATAGAAGTATTATATTATATTATATTCATATTATTGTATATTATGTATATATATATATATATAAATATATATATATATATTTATATATATATATATATTTATATTCTATACCATATTATTATATGTTATATAAAATATTCATCAATATATTCTATATTTATACGAAATTAAGACGCAATAACGGAAAGCGAAAATACCGTTTGTGTCTATTTAGCGTCCATCTATTCATCCATTCATTATGTTTCTTTACCTTTACACGCGCAAACAATTCACGCACGCACACACGCACACACGCACATACACACGCGCACACACGCGATTGTTTTATCATAAGCTGAATAATAGTTTTCGATCAAAATTTTAATACAATTTATTATCAAATATCACATTGATATTAGTCATATTGTCAAGAGATGTGTGCGTGCGTGTGTGTGTGTACGTGAGTGCCTGCGTCGAACTAAGAAAAGTGACATTGAATAAAAGTTTTCTAACTTCAAATGATAATTGACTAACTAGCCTTAACTTATTTTAAGCTAATGTACGTCACATAGAACCTCACAGAACGCATAATCTATTGAGAACTAGTAAAATTATAAAATTAGTCATTATTGATCACTATTACCATTTATGGCGATACTGAAAATTAAACTAAGGACAGTCTGGATCACTTTATATTTTAGACTGATCACCGGATCACGAATCCGGTTCCGTACAGGTAGAGCCTACTCCTTTCCATAATTTATTTACATACACATCAGCTAGCATGAAGCATAGATTTAACGTAAGTTTACAGCCATCCGAGGATGGCGAATTACTTCAAATCAAATCAAATATTTAAAATAAATTCTTTGTTGATTGAATAGATGTATGAAAGAAGTTTATACGTTCAGAATTGTTGAAGATCATATTGATGAGGTGAAGCTTAAGGATCTTGGTGTTATCCATCTACACTTTATTTTGCATCTCCGGGGTCCACTCAGTTGTCACTCTTTCATTCAAAGGTCAAACAAACGACAGTGCCTAGAAAATACCGATTCATTATAAAAAATATCGAAATTACCGCACCTAGAGACATGCGCTTTGTTATTAGTAACACATTTTTGATATTATAATGTGAAGCGCTAAAAAATTAATTTTCTTTTTTCGCCATTTTGTTTGTTCGTGCATCGTAAAACTTTAGGTTTAGGTTTTCGTGTTCTGATATATAAATCGAACGGTTAATGGTTTAGTTAGTGAACTGGTTGAAATAGTATCTACGAGAAATTGTTAAGCTTTAATTTGAATATTTTTAATTTAATTTATTTTTCTTGAAGAAATCTGATATTTCTCGGGATTTGTGCAGGACGTCCAACGGATCCAATCAACCAGAACGTCATCATCTCTAAAAATCTAAAAATTAAACATGGCAGACGATTACGAGATTAACGACATGCTAGAGAGACCGTACAAGAAAAAAGTTTGACACTTTGATTTTGTTGCATTTCGATTTATAATATAATAATTATTAAAGAAATTGATAAGTTTTGTTGGCTTATCTTACTTTATTATTATTTTATTGAATTATATGCACTAACTCAGCTAATTCTAATTTAATTTAATGTAGCACTAACTTATTACTTAGGCAAAATCCAATTGATTAAGCAAGCTTTTTAATTAAACTGGCCTACCCAGATCAAAATGCTAATTCTAACCTAAACTAAAATTTAAAAAATATTAATTATTAATCATTGCTAATAGTAGTAATGTAATAAAAATAATACAAGTATAATAGTAATGTAATAGAAATAATACAAGTACCTATTTTTGATGTTTTAATAGAATAAAGTTAGGGAGGATTATAGAGCAGAAAATGACTCATTGCCCGCCAGAAGGTCATATGAAGAAATGAATGAGGAAAAAAGGTAAGGCTTCAAATTTTATTTTTTTTAAATTATTTTTATCAAAAATTTTCATTGATTGTTTATGAATTCTCTATTAACCTGAGTTTATTTGTGATTGTTTACTTTTAGTAGTGGGAGCTTCATTGGCAAAAAGTTGATAAAAATTTTAATGTCTCCGCTGTCAGGTAAAAAACAGTAAATAGGTGGACGATTGTTTTTTTTATTTTTCTTTGCCCTCTAGTATTTTTTATTTGCTTTTCTCATTCAAGACAATAATTTTTATGACAACATTTTAATTTTGGTCTTTTAAAGATGTTTATTTGGAGAAATAATGGAATAAAATGGAGCCTTATAAAATGTAATCTGATATATGGAAAAATTACTTGTAAATTACGTACACACGAAGAACAAAAAAGGTATGCACTCCAGCCACAATTCTTCCATATCCCAGAAATAAACATCTCTTACTGCTAACTTTATTCATTTATTATTTATTCATTGTAATGCCTCATAGATTGCTTAGAAAATTTTATTTGCAGGCAGGTTTATTTGCTCTCTTTATTTAAATGTAGCCATGATATTAACGTTTGCTATTGCATGCATATATGTATTATAAGCATGAGGTTGAGATAGGTAAAAATTAGAAATAGTCATCCTAGAATAGTAGTTGGTTTCAAGATGATTCTAAACTGCCAATGAGAAAAGAGTTTAAATTTTATTTTTAAACAAATTTTTTAAACAAATTTTAGGAGTTTTTAAATCTTGGATAAACCGTTTTTTGTTACTGCTTTTTTCATGGATGTTATACTCCGTGTTTAATTTCAGTCCGGTTTATCTTATTGAAGATTTTTACTTCGATATGTAAAAACTAAACTCACTATTTTTCTCTACCCAAAAGTGGATGAAAGATTAATAGAAAGTCAGCAGAGAAGCTCTTCCTTTTACTTAGATCAATCTTTCTTACTCTTGCATCAGCTTTGGCTGTAAAGTGCTTTGAAAATGTTGACAACGTCAACATTTTGATCTTATCTGCTTCTAGTAACACCACCATATTTTTTGTGCTTTTATATAAAACATTTTTCCTGTCTGATCTGATCTAACCATTAAATCATCATCTCAGGCTGCCTATGGAGCATAGAAGCAGATTTTTCTGTAAAGACTTTTAAATTTTCATTTTATTAGGTACAGTTTTAGAGAGAATATTGTACAGCAGGATGAAATAATTCAATGGGAGTGTTTCATGGGCAGTGAATTTATGTTCCAGTAAAGTCACAGAAATTTTTTTATACTTTTAATTCTAACAAGGTGTTGATTTGGCTAAAAAAAACGTGTAGTCAAGGAAAAAAAACCAAGAAAGGAGATTTTTTGTAAATTTATTGGATTTTCTAAACCAAACTAGACAAAATCCTGGTCGGTGGTGCAAGCTCTGGACTATTCCTCTGACATAGGGCGTTGGTGTTTGGTGAATATGTTGGATTGATTAGTTACTAGAGGTGTGATATTCACAGCAGATTTGATCTTGTATTTGATCTGTTAAAAGTTATAAGTTTGGAAAAAAATTGAATTATTTTTAAGGTCAAAGAAGAAATAAGAAATAAATAGGATTATTTTTGAATAATGAACACTCCCTTCAGAAAGTATTTCTCATTCAAATTCAATCTTGAAGCTGGCAGTACAATAAGGATTTAGAAATTGCAGAGATATTTATCCAAAGTAGATAAATATCTTCATACATTTACATGTAAAATAGTTGTTTTAATTTATTTTAAATAAGCACAATTATATAGATGACAGATTTTTGCATATATGTATATATAAATTTTTTTTAAAAACTTGAATATTTTTTGAAGGTAAAAATTGACTTATTAATTATTAACCCTGGAGATGACCTTCCAACAGCAGTTTGTTGACATTTTTCAACAATATTTTCATCAAACTATTTTATTCATTTTTTTTTATTATTATTTTTCGATGATATCTTTTGCTGTTGATAAAGTATTATTTTTGATTGGAATGTTAATGATGACTGCTAGCATTTTAACATGGCTTAATGTAAGTTAATGTAGCCACGTGTTTGTGTGCATTCAGCTAATTTATGTAATGTGGTAATGTAGTTTTTTTTTAATGATACAATGATATTAAAATTCATTATGATAAATCTTACAGGAGGTACAGCGAAGAATATGAAGAAGAGTTAGTAGAGTTTGTTTTGTTTTTGTATCTTGATAGAGGGAGAGAGAATTTATCTACCGTTTCATAATGATAGTGGCTCAACCGTGGGTCATTTGAATGAAGTTTAAATCTTTTTTTCTTCTGCTTCCAACTGATTCACGTATTAAGAAAAGATAAATTTTACTTCTCCATATAACTCGATACATCCTTTTCTTTCTCTCCAAGCTTATGAGGAGAGGATGTCATTTTCAGAAGATAATATTTAAAGGTGATACTTTTCTCCCTTGCAGGCCATCTGAAGAGGAGGAGGAAGAGGTGAAAGTTCGGAAGCACAAAAGAAAATCAGGTCACGAAGAAAGGAAGAAAAAGAAGAAGAAGAAAGAACACAGAAGATCGAGGGAATACTATGAAGAGGAAATGGACGACGAGGAAGAACGAATGATGATGATGTACGAAGAGGAAAGACGACGTCGACATATCAGAGACGGTAAAATTAGGTCGAGGCACAGTCCACAACCAATGAGTGATGAGGAGGAGGAGTTTTATGAAGAAGAGAGAATGAGACGTCACGAAAAATATAGGTCACGTAGAAGGTCAAGAAGCCCTGACAGGCACCACAGATCATCTCCAAGGTATGAATCTCCGAGAAGATATGAACTGCCTCCGAAAAAGATTAAATCAGATAGGTCACCACGCGAGAAGTCAAGGGAGAGAATTAGGTCAAGATCAAGGGGGAGAATTAGGTCAAGGTCGAGGGAGAGATTTAGGGAAAGAACACCACCCCCACCTGTTGAAAGGAAGAGAAGGAGTCCAACACCCAAGTGAGATATTTTTTCATTCCTTTTTTTCATTCATACATTCCTGAATAAAAAAAAATCCCATTGCTATATCTACCATCACCGTGACGTTGTATCAATGTATCATCGTTGATACTATCATCCAAACTTTCATGTGATATTGAGATCTTACAAAATCAACATTTTGGTAATCAAATATTCATCTTTTCTACTACAGATTGCCGGAGCTGACGCCAGAGGAACGAGATGCCCGAACTATTTTCTGCATGCAACTCTCCACAAAGCTACGACCCATCGACCTCAAGGATTTCTTTGGAAAGTTAGGAAAGGTAAGGGGAATGAGGATTTCTTTTTTTAAATTTTGAAATGTTTTTTTCATTTTCAAATTTGACATTGATGTGTAATTTTATAATTGTTTTAATTATTATAAATTTTTTATTAAATAATATAATTATGTAAAAAAAACTTTACAAAAAGAAATTTGTTTGCAAATAATTCAATTATTTGTATATATGTTGCTGTTGACATTAGTAGTGATGATTGAAAAATGATTGAAAATGATGTTGCATGTCTGAAAATTAAAGAATAAAACACGCACGCACACACGCTGACACACATACACACGCCCACACACACATTCACATCTTCACATACACACACATGTAGCCCCACTCAATCTCATCATTCATCCAACTAACCACCCCCCTAGATTCGAGATGTGCGATTAATAATGGACAATAGATCTCGTCGCTCAAAAGGCATTGCCTACATCGAGTTCCAAGATACTGAATCCGTGGCTAAAGCACTTGAGCTGTCCGGACAACGTTTGCTAGGTTGGTTGGTTCAGTAATGCAGTGTAAAATACAATGCAAATACCAGTGCTTTTTTCCTATGATTTCAGCTTAAAACCTAACTTTCAGGTGTGCCAATCATCATCCAGCCTTCGCACGGGGAGAGAAACAGATCAAACATGCCTATTACCACGGCCACTGGCAAGCCCGGGTCTGTCGGCCCCATGAAGTTGTACATAGGCTCACTGCACTACAACATCACTGAGGAAATGCTGAAGGGCATTTTTGAACCTTTTGGGCCGGTTAGTGTTTGTTTGTTTGTGTGTGTGTGTTTGTTTGTGTGTGTGTGTGTGTGTGTCTGTTTGTCTTTGTATATGTTTTCTGAAGTTGTTAAGTTAATATAGTTCCAGTTTGAGATAATTTCAATTAATCAATTAATCAATCAACTAACCAGCTACATTCAACTAACCAGCCACATTCAACTAACCAGCCACATTCAACTAACCAATCACAATCAACTAACCAATCACAATCAACTAATAGATTGATGAGTTGAAGCTCATGAGAGATCATTCCACAGGCAGATCACTTGGATATGGCTTCCTACAGGTTGACATTTTTATTCATTTATTCATCCATTTGTTCATTCATCCATCCATCCATTCATTCATTCATTTGTTCATTCGTCCAATTAATCATTCGTCTTTCGTTCATTTATTTACTTATTCAATAGTTGATTTATTTTTTATTACTCATTCATCCATCTGTTTCTTTGGTCATTCATTTTATTCATCCATTACATCAATTTCATTGATTTGTTCATTCATTCATTTATTTCACTTAATTTAATCCCTCATTCACTCCTTCGTCTGATTGCAGTTTAAGAGAGGCGATGATGGCAAGAAGGCCTTGGAACAGTTGAATGGTTTTGAACTGGCTGGTCGACCCATGAAACTTGGAAACGTAGCCGACTATCAGGTTTGCTTGTTTGCTTGCTTGCTTGCTTGTTTGTTTGCTTGTTTGTTTGTACTTGTATATATTTGTATATATTTGGAGTTGTATTTCTATGTTTGCTTGCTTATTGTATGGTAAATAAACATGCGGTTATGTATGTTCGTTTGTTTTGGGGTCCTGTTGTACGTTTGTGGCTTATTTAGTATGTTTAGTAATCAAACAACCAGTCAACCAATTAGTCAGTCAATCAACAAATCAATCAATCAACCAATCAATTTACCAATCAATCAATCAACCTAATTTACCTACAGTTAGGGCAGTCAACGTCAACGTTATTTGATGCGGATGAGGTGGACAAAGCAGGTTTCGGAATGAATGCCACCTCGAGGATTCAACTAATGGCTAAACTTGCTGAAGGTTAATCAATCAATCAATCAACCCACCAACCAATCAGTCGGTTGTTATATTAACCAACTAATCAACCAGCCGCTTAATCAATCAACCATGCAAATATTTGCTCATCTAGCATGTTTATTTTATTAAAATATTGAGTTTTATTAATTTTTTATCGAAACTCATACAGGCACAGGGTTTGAAATTCCAAAAGCTGCGGCCAGCGTTTTGAATGGTGGAGGTGGAGGGGTTGCCAAATTATCACCGACCAATCAGAAGCAGGCTGACGCCCCTGCCCCACCAATCGCAACTCAGTGTTTCCTCCTCAGTAATATGTTCACTGCCAATGAGTATGTATTTCTGTTTTGATATTTACGTTTTGTTTGTTTTGGAGCGTATACTTTTGTGTGTGGTGTCTGTGTGCGTGCGTGTGTATGTGTGTATCCCACGTTTTCTCTTTATGTTAAGAGCTATTTGTGCAAATCTATAATAAATGTTAGACACACATTGAAGGTCATTTGTCTCTTAGTAAGAGGTATTTATTCATTATTTATACGCATCTAGTTTTTGTATTTAGTTTGTATGTAAACATCAACACGACGACACACGTCAAAATTGAAAGACACACACACACACAAATGCACACACACGCACACACACACACTTACAAATACACTAAAATTTTCTGTTCAGATTGAAGGATGCTGAGTGGGAGAGAGAGCTAAAGGACGACGTGATTGAGGAATGCAATAAACACGGTGGGGTCCTGCATATACACGTCGACAAGACATCTGCCCAGGGCCACGTCTACGTTAAGTGTCCGTCCATTGCGTCGGCCATGTCCAGTGTAAATGCCCTCCATGGCAGGTTTTTTGCAGGTTCGTGATGTGTGATTGGCTGGTCTGTCGTGGTTGGTTGATTGAATGGTTGGTTGGTTGGTTGGTTTAGTGTTTGAATTGCTGTTTGTCTGAATGAATTGTGGATTAATTAGTTTTTGTTTTTTCTTTGTCTGGTCTCTCTCTCTTTCTCTCTCTCTCTGTCTTTTCTTTTTTTCTTTCAATTATTTCTTTTTTTCTTTCAATTATTTCTTTTTTTCTTTCAATTATTTCTTCTTTTCTTTGTCTCTCTGTCTCTCTCTGTCTCTTTCTTTCTGTCTCTTTCTCTCTCTCTCTCTCTCTCTCTCTCTCTCTCTCTCTCTCTCTCTCTCTCTCTTGCTCAATTTTCTGCAAACTATAATTTCTCCAGCTTTTTCCTTTTCACCTATTTTTATTGATTAATTCATATCAAATTACAAGTTAGTGGTAATTTGTTATAATATAATATATCGTTCTATACTCAAGGAAATATAATTAATTATAATTATTATGTTAACGACCCACAGGCAAACAGATCACAGCTGCTTACGTACCCCTGCCTAATTATCATAATTTATTCCCGGAGTCCATCAGGGCCGTTCAGTTCATCCTACCGTCGAATGCAATAAAATCTTCCATACCTTATTTGTATTAATTATGTTAATTAAGCTGATTAAAGTGATTAGTTAATTTGTTAATAATTTTTTTTAATAATTATACAACGTAATTCACTGTTTAATTGAGTAGTTGGTTAGATTGGGATGGTTTATTTGATTTGGCAATGGTTGCATGAATAGTTTAATTGATTAATTGAATAATTTAATTGAATAATTGATAAGTCAATGAGTGTTTAAACGAATTGAACTCATAATTAGATTCTGTTTTTGTTCGTCAGCTAATAACAGCTAAACTTTTTTTTAACAATATTTTAAACACTGTTATATGATAATTCTTCATACTAGTTTTAAAATATATCTATAAATAATTAATTTACTTGTTCGTTCGTTCATTCGTTCATTCATTCATTTATTACAGATGACAATGGTAAATATAGTAATAAGGACTTAGACTTGTAAATAAATAATGGAGGAATGCATGCATTCGTCATACCTGTGTAAATCGTTACTCATTTGGTTGTAATAAAAGTTCAGTAATTGTGTATTATAGGAAAGTCAAATATGTAACATGTGTAAGGCGTTGTTTGGCGATTGCTTGTTTTGAAGTTACGAAGAAGATATAAGTAACGAGTTTGATTGTAATTGTTGTTTATTTGATTGAATTCGGAACTTAGTTTTTATTTAATTACTGAAATGTTTTACTAGAATTAATATCTTAAATCATAATAGTAAAGCCCTAACCGTGTAATGATTAACTACAGTTAGAATGTGGCTGGTTTGGGTAAAATTTTAACTCAGGTAACAGTTTATCAGTTTTTAATGGACATTCACCAAATCAACTCAGGTAAAACGTTTCTGTTATTTTTAACTGTTAACTTTTTATTTGTATCATTATTTTCAGGTTATTTTCGTAATCGCAACTTATGGTAATTCGGGGGAAATAAGAGTTCTCGATAGTTAGTTTAGGAATTTATTTGTAACACGTTTATTGACAGAAAAGCGAAAACACGTACAGGACTTCAAAATTTTGACCGCTAAAGGTATTGCAGGCTTTGAATGCGGAGATGGTTGTTTCACAGAAATAAGACTTCATCCTGGCGTTTTTTGTCAGATTTCAAGAACTCAAAACAAACAAATTATTGCTTTTTTCCACGGTTCGTCATGCAAAACTAATCACCTCTTTTTTAGTTGATTCTTTTTTTTATAGTCTCGTTGCTTCTGGAAATCCTCTTTGGAAAGGATTGCTGGAGGCATCTTGGCTTTTGCATGAAAAACTGACGGGAAGACGAATCCTTTGTTAATTTGTGGATTTTCAAATCTGACAACTAACGCCTGGCTGCAGTCAAACCTTTGTGTATCATCTCTGTCTACTGTTCCTGCAATGCCGTTAGAAATCAAAATTTTGCCGGAATCAAACACCTCCTTGTGTGCAAACAACCTTCCTGTTGGCTCCTTCGTTTCCAGTTTCTCGGATTCAAAAAATGTTATCGGGCTATCCGGCCATTTGTAATTTTTGAAATCCGAGGCAAGCGGTGCTTGGATGTACGGATAGTACCAGTCGGAACAAGGGCAGCCCTGGTAGTAGTAACGCAGAACCCAAGTCAACCCCATAACATATTTATGAACTCGGTCGTCTTTGGGCTCTACGATATTACCACGCACATCCGCAATGGTCATCTTTCTGTTTTTGAAGATGTTGCCCTCCTCTTCAGCCAAAAATCTGAACAGGAAGTCCAAGCTCTTGTAGTTGATGAACCCATTGTTGTTGAGATGGCACCCAGTTCGTTCCAGTACTTTCTTGTACATCCCAATCATCCTGCCGATTGCCCCCTCCCAGATGTCCACGGACGGCAATCCTGGAAGGAAATCGTTGCCCAGCAAGGTTGTCAGCAGCACCCAGTCATCGATGCTCTTTTCCAGGTCCTGTTTCAACAAATTAAACGTTTTTAAATCTTTAAACAAATATTCCCTTAAAACATTAATTTGGACGAAAACAAAACTTTCATCATCCTTCAACTGCTTTAGAATGGTGAACATGGGCTCGTGTGTTGTTAGGCCCAGTATGATGGCATCAGCGTCCACGCTGAACAAACAATGTTTCATATTCGCATTGTATTGTGCTTGAACGCGCTGTCTTCTTATATACTCCACAATCTTGTGTTCACCCTCACCTGGCACCTCAGCGTCTGATAGCATGACAGCCAATCCCTTCCAGCTCGGACTGCTACTTACACGCGAGTCGATGTAACGACACAGCTCTTGAGATATTCCTTTCATGAAGAACATGTAGCTGATGTCGTTACTGCTCTCTCGTGTTTGCACGCTTCCCAAGCCTTTTTCCAACATCTCCTGCCTCTCTTTGTTGTTCTTCGCCCTAGGAGATCTGCCATCCATGCTGATAAACAGTAACTTCCTGGGCTTAACGATTGTCATTAGGCGGTCGATGTATTTGGCTATTTCCGCCATCAGGTCACTTTTAGTAGCAAGTGCGGGTTTGTTTGGTGGATTTGAGCAGATGTGAATGATGCCATTCATGTCCAGGTACAAATTGTCGAAGCCCATGTTCACCTTCGATGCAGGCAGCACCACCGACGGGTACTTCTTGCTGACCCAGTTGAAGAAGCCTCCGATACCCATTTTGTTGTGTTCGAAAATGATTAGTAGAAAACACAGTAAAACACAATAGAAAAAAAGATTGGTTGAAAACAGTTGAAAAAATGATTAGTAGAAGACACAGTTGAAAAAATGATTAGTAGTAAACACAGTAAAACACAGTTGAAAAAATGATTAGTAGAGGAAACAGTTGAAAAAATGATTAGTAGAAAACACAGTAAAACACAGTTGAAAAAATTATAAGTATAGTACACAGTAGAAATATATTTTCGAATTCGTGTAGAACATGATATAGGCTCATGTATTTATAGATAAAATTTCTTTCGTTGGAGCAAACATTATTAATTGCCCACCGAGTCCTTTGTTGAATCGTTTATAAATCAAACAAAGTTGAATCGCTTTAAAGCTCTACACCATAACGCAAAGTTCATTTTTTTTACTTAATTTTACACTTTGTAAACGTTTATTGTTAGATTTTACTTGGTAAAGCTAGTAAAGTCATCATTTAGATGGACAAGTTTTAGCAAAGTTAATATCATAAATCAATCATTCATCATAATGAGTGCACACACACTACACACAAACACGCACACACTTTATGGCAAATAAAGTAAAGTGACTTGATAACTACTTCTTAAAAAATAAACTTTATTATTGGTTGTTTGATTTTCACTTCCTTTCAATAACGATCAATATCTGTTTTCACTTTTTATTGACGCATGGAACCCTTTGTTGACGCAAAGTTAATTTGTTAAGTGAATTGACGCTATAGAAGTTGATTGTTAGATTTTACTTGGTGACGATGATAAATTTTCGATCATCAATCAGATGGACAATTTTTAACAAAGTAAAGTTTTGATTATACACACGCTGTTTTGAAACGGTTTTAGTGGCTTTTATTGGATAATGGATTTCAACATTTGAGTCAGACATTTTTTGATTTAGTCAATTCGCTTCAGAATTAAATTATGTGACTCTGCTTTTAAGCGTATTACAAAATTTATTTTTTTTTTACATATTATTGAACTACAAAATTCGACATTTCTCACGACTGATTCAGTTCTTTTAACCGATTTACTTACAAACGCACTTTGTGACATTAATGTTTATACAAGGTTTATTGAGTATTTTTTAGAAAAAAGTTTTTAAATTTATTTTGAGATTAGTAAAAAAATGTTTCAAATTGTTTAATTATTCAATTAATTTCTGCTCCGTTTGATTTCTGTCATTTTTATTTCAGAAATGTAGCTCTATGAAAAGCCTGAACGCACTCTTTGTTTGCATTTTAAAACGGTTAACCTAGAATTAAAATAAACTTTGAAATATTATTTAAACAAAATTTGGATGATTTATTACATTCTTAATAGTAAAATGTTTAACATTTGAAATATCTCTAAGATGAAACGTTCAACTATATTTTGCTAAAAGGATTTATGGCGCCTAGCCCTGCGTAGCTGTTTAAATGGAAGGAGATCCCAGCAACATGTGGTGGGACGCGTTTTGTTATACGTGCTCGTTTGAACTCCATTAAAAAGTTGCTTCAACAATATTTTGAAAGAATTAATTTTTTAATTGTCATTCGTTACGTCCGTCCTTAATAGAAATTAAGATTGAACTTTTTAATGCTCACACACACACACACACACACACACACACACACACACACACACACACACACACACACACACACATACACACACACAAAAGTTATAAATACTGGTAATATTTTTTACCACTCTAATAAAAAATCGAAGGAGCATGTTTCCAAAGCAATTAACGCTTGTAAAACGTCAACAAAATTCATTCGCTCCTCGCGCATGGTCATTTTTAGAGTAACAAAAACTGAATCAAAAGAACGTTCAATTAATTGAAAAGCTGTTTAGAAACCACACCAGTAAATTTTTTAGTTTAAAATTATCTCTTAGTACTTCTCAGACATAAGCAACAAGTGCATACCGTAGGTACCTACTAACAACTTCTAATGCAGTCATCGTAGCAGCGGTGTCGGGCATCTTATCCATTACACCAGGGGTGGGCAAACTTTTTGCTGTGAGGGGCCGCAGCTTGCCCACCTCTGCATTAGTACAACACTGAGTCGCCCGACTTATTAATTTTATTTGTCATGACCCATCTCTTATAGAAGTAGAAAAGTGGACAGCAAGTAATGGCAATCTACTGTCTACAACTTTTGCCAAGAAAACCATCGACAAAGACAACACAAACCAAATCAAAAAGATCGGGGCTTGTGGAGGTCGATGATCGCCATGGTCCTGAAAGGACAAGGCGCGAGAAAGAAGTAACGTTACTAATTTTTCCACAATTTAACGATTTCTATTTTGGTTTAGATTCAGAAAACATTAGTAAAAATGGTAGAGAGGTTCATTTGTCCTAAGCTGATTGACAGAAAACTAACGATGACTTATTTCTAACATGCAAAAATACTTGCTCAGCATAACATTGATATCATTGTTATTTAACGCAAGTCAGAAATATTTCCCATCATATTTCCAACAATATCTTTTATACCTTATATATTTTTTGATAATCTTTTAATTTTTTCAAGTTTATTTCATACCCAACTCGTTACCAACCGTAACAACGTGAATTACCGTGAATATACAAATACACACACATATTATGTATGCAAAAAATAAAATTTTCAACAGCAGAGATCGGAGTAGAAGCCGACCATGACGCACCAGATATGCTTGTCACATGGATCGCCATTCTGGCAATAACGGGAATGATCTGTAATCGGTAGGATGGTTAGTTGGTTAGTTAATTGGTTAGTTGATTGGTTGGTTGATTGAATAGTTGATTGGGAGGATGGATGGTTTGTTGGATGATTAGTTAAATGGCTGGTTGGTTAACTGGTTGGCTGGTAAATTAGGTTCTTGGTTAAATGGATGAACGGTTGGTTAGTTGACTGATTGGTCGGTTAGCTAGTTGATTGGTTGAAACTTAGAAAATTGTTATCTTAACTTAAAAAAACATAAAAAATTACAATAAAAATTTACCTTTGTCGGATCTTTTCACGCGTTTCTCGATC